CTCACCTCCTACAACCGTGCTGACCGATCTAAATTGCACATTATTGTGTAGTAGAAACGTTTATAAAGGCAGTCGCCCGATTTCTTCTCTGCCTGCAATTCTCTTGCCCAGGTTGTTGCTTGCAATGACCAATGTCACTCTCGTTATGTCTGCCTGGAAGTGCCTCCATACACTTAATAGAATGAACTTGAAGGACAGAAGTTAAGCATTTTTAACCATCTCTTGGTTTTGTTTATGCTCTGTATTAAAGGTTGGATTTTCAATACGTTTTGAAGATTGGACCTCAGAGAGAACATTGTTGAAGTATATGACGGATGGTATGTTACTGCGAGAATTTCTGGGTGAACCAGACATGGAAGGCTACAGGTACATATTATCTTCTTTCAAGCATAGCTGTTTAACATTGTGGGTAGGATTTTCATTTTCTGAATGCCTTGCATACAATTAGAACATTATTGGTAAATTGGTAAATTAATGAGTTTTTCTTGGTTCTTCAGTGTGCTGATGATTGATGAAGCTCACGAACGGACTCTCCACACGGATATTTTGTTCGGCCTTGTTAAAGATGTTTCAAGATTTCGTCCAAACCTGAAACTTATCGTATCAAGTGCTACCTTGGATTCTGAAAAATTCTCGAAGGTACGTATTATCTCGTTTTTGTTCATTTCATGATAACTATTCCTACATATAGTTCTTTGATGATGCTCCAATATTCCTGATTTAAATTATATAATTATTTTATTTTTTTAATTTTAATTTAAGTAACTTACATTTAATTATATCAAATCAAATTACAATAACATAATAAAAATTTGATACACTAATAAAAATATAATAGCGTTAGATTACACGATGATAATTTCTATCAATACAAAAAATTTATTATTAAATCATCTAATTTACTCTCATTTATCAATACATACTTCATTCAATTTAAAAACTTATACTTTACTATTACTTTCCTCATCCCTCTCCCTCTTTCTCTGATCCATTGTATCTTTCCCCAACTTCTTCCTCTTACTGAACGTCATTATTGCCCCCCCCTCCCTCCCATCCCTTCACCTGTTCCTACTTCTCTTACTTCTCTCCTGCTTTCCTCTTCCAGGATATAAGGCTTTCCTCTTCATCTCTTCCTCCCTCCCCCTCGGCGCCTTCCCTCCCTCTGACATCTCCACTACGCTCTACTCACCTTTCTCCCTGTTTCCCTCCCGTTTTTGTCACTCTCTTTCCTGTCCCTCCTAGTTCTTTCGGCTCCTCCTCTCCCCTCTTTCCGTACTTCTTTGTTGCTGGCTTCATCTCGTTTAGCGGCCCTTCTCTCTCCCCATCTCTCGCCCCACTACCTCATGGTCTCCTCCAGCTTACTCGGCTGTCCGTCCCTCCTTCGCCTCCCTTCCTTTTCCTCCGCTCCACCCCTCTCTCTTTTCCCCTCCCTCCCCTGCTCTCCCTCCCCTCTGCTTTCCTCCTCTCCTCTTCCCCCCTCTCCTCCCTTTCTACTGTCCTTTCCCTCTCCCTCTCTCTCCCCCTCCTCTCTTCCCCCCCTCTCCTCCCTCATCCTCCCTTTACCCTTCTCTCTATCATCTACTCTCCCCTCCTCTCCTCTCTCCTTCCCCTCTCCCCTCGCTCCCTTCTCCTTCCCCTCTCCCCCTTTCTTCCCTCCCTTCTCTTCCTCCATCCTCCCTCTTTTCCTCTTCCCCTCTCTCCGTCTTCCCTCCCTCTCTCCCCGCTTCCCCTTGCTCTCCTTCCTCCCCCCTCTACACGCCCCCCTCTATTTTCTCCTACTTCTTTTCCTCTTCTCTTTCTTCCCCTTCTCCCTCTTCTACTCTCCTCCCTTACCCCCTCCCTCGCCTTTCACCTTCCCTTCACCCCTCTCCCTCCCCTCCTCTCTCTCCTCTCCCCCGGCTTTTCCCCTCTCCCTCCCCTTCCTCCCTCTCACCTTCTCTCTCCCTCTCCTCTCTCCGGTCCTCCCCTCCTCTCCCCTCCCTTTCCTCTTCCTTCTTTCTCTCCTCATCTCTCTCTCTCCCTCTTCCGCTCTCCTTCCTGCTATCCCTCCTAAAGAGAGAAAAGAAATAGTGTAAGAAATACCCGGAAGAAGATATAGTATCGACATCTTTCATACAAAGGTAAATTTAAAAAATTATAATGCCTCTGAGTACCCACACAACAACAACATATCAAATAGCTTTTGTGTTTTTCTGTACAATGAAAGGGTATCAACTGTCTTGCTAAAATCAGACTTTTATTCCCTAGAGTATATAGTAAGAAACAGTTGTTGCAAAAGTGATCATGGAAGCAACATCATTGGGAATCCGGCCACCTGGAAAGTCCAACACAGGCTAAATGAGGGCTTTGATGTCCTTTGATGATTGATAAAAACTCATTGTATCATTGTTCAGAGAAATGAGTCGTTTGTGTGAAGACTGCTCAGGGAGGCATTCTAGCCATCAATCAAGCAGATATTGCCGGTTTACCCTGGTGAGCTTTCTCAAAGCAGGAAGAAAGACACAAAACGACAAAGCACTGAAGTGCAAAACCCTCAGCGAACTGCGCATGTGCGGTACCGCTAATGGATGGGCTGGGCTATGGGTATGCACTTACTCGCGGAGAGTCTGACACTGACTAGCAGATAGCATGCGGGAGTCGATACACACCCTTCATTGTGACTTCTTGTGCCTCCAAGGTGCACAGAGCGAGCGGATCAGGTCAAGGTAAGCCAGCGCTATTATGGATATTGCTTGTTTTCACGGCATATCTCTTGAATGCAGTCGTTTCAGAAAAATAGCCTTTTTAATTTTCAGGCTCGTGTAGTTCTGCAGCCGTTGGTATCGCTAATAGGCCGCCTCGTAGCCTGTAGTGCGAGAATAGTCATGGACAGACAGACACACAGACCAACTACCGTAACCCTCGCTGTGCATGCACGCCGAAGATTAATAAGATTTTCTGGCCTCAACAAGGTCAACTTCCTTCACCAAGTAGGACTAAAAAGCAGAATCTTCACCAAGTACGACTAAAAAGCAGAATCTTCTCGGAGAAGTATAAGAGAAAGGTTTGTCCAGTGCAGAGGTGGGAATCAAGCATGACTTACGGGAGGAAGCAGAGAACTTAGAACATCTCCTTTGCCATCTTCGTCAAACAATTTCCCAAGACTTTTACTTAACCAACTGCACTGGAAACTTTCTGCTCTAGTGATACAAACTCACCCTCTACCCGAGATTTACGCTTATTTTTCTGCCAATCTACGGAGCTCGAACTGCTTTAAACTCCTATTTTTGCTAGCTTTTCAAAGTGCCTCCTCGTACCTTCTCCTTTGGCGCCACATACTAATCTACCAGAACACCAGCAGTCGGTGGCAAGCTCCAGTCCATGTTCTCATGTTGAAATTTCACTGCCCCAAACTGAGAATTCACAAAACAACTTGCTTTTACTATGAAACAGCTGCCATGCTAACAGTTTTCCACCTGACTAGGCTGCAGCTAGTGAGACAAATCAATATTTTAGGTGTAGAAACTATTATTATTGCCGAGCGCGTTAGCGTGAGGCAACTACTCCGGGTTGTATTCTCGCGATATGCGTACGTACATACGTACGTCGTCAATTAGTCACGCTTAGGAATGTCATTTAGTCACCAAAGGGAAGTGTAACTTCCGTCATTCGTAGGAAGTCTAGCTTTTGCCGTGCGCACAGATTCGTATGAAGTCTGGCTTAGCGCGCAGTCAGTAGAGCACACGCACGAGCGGCCTCAGTCGGACTGTTTACGCATTGGCTGGCAGGCATGAGGCAAAATATGCGCGTGCGCATTCCTAGTACCTAATTACTTGGTCACATATAGGAGACCAAGCTATCCCTCTATGTTCTAAGCTCAATGTTATCTGCTATCAATTGCATGTTACACTTCACAGGCTCCTGAAGCAGACTATTTAGAAGCTGCTGTTGTGTCTGTCCTTCACATTCATCTAACTCAACCAGCTGGAGATATTTTGGTAATTTATTTTGTACATGCAACGAAGTTATCACGCATGAGTTTTGACGGATATCCAGAGCTCAAGAGCTCTTTCTATCCTCATGAGACTTGAAACGAGAAATATGCTATTTTGTCACTATTATTCGTAAAACGACCCACGACCCTGACTGATCTGAATGTCACATATTATGTATCACAAAATGTGGCTGCCAGAATCCTACCATATAAATGAAATTTTCGCGTGGTATGAAACCATAAAGGTTCTGTGGTTGATATGGCACGTCAATGCACATGGGAGGGCGTAAGGGGCGGGTCCATGTCATGCTGTTGCCTCAACACTTACATGTCAACTCTGACTTACATACTTTACTGAATTACCATTACAGTAGCGAATATAAAGTGCTCACAGACGACGAAGAACGAAGGGAACACTTTTGTTAGGACGACAGACCCACTCTCGCACCTTCACGCGTGTGCGCAGTTTGATTTGTCTGGTTTGCTCAAGCGCTATCAGCGGTTCACGCAGCTGGAATGTGACCCTAGGATTTGTTGCACAAAGCTAGGATCCGATGTTTGCGCAACACACTCCTAGGATGGTCCGACTCTGAACTTTGCGCCTACTGATAGAATCAGAGATACAGTGTTGCCAGTCACATTAACACTGATCTCGACTGAATTTACTGTGACTAGACAGATGGATTTTAATTTTACAGATCACAACGTTCGCTACGTGGCTACACAACTCGACATAAAAAGTTAGCTTATGTAATACAGTACTGTGCTACATACACACTGTATAATGCGACCTATACGATAACGTAATCAGATTGGCAAACATGTTAACACACACATAGTTAAATCTGGAGTTCACCACACTCCGCCTGATCAGAACCGTACAACGCAGAGTTCCTTCTTGACTCTAGAGGGCGTATCAAGGATACTAACCTCCTCTATGATACAAGAAACTATTAGTGTGTCGCAGTATGGATGCGTATACTGAGAGTGCCACCCAGCCTCTCAGTGTGTGGTGACAGACTGGTATAATGGGTGTGGTCGAAGTCGAGTGGCACGAAAATGTATTCTGGAGGCCCCAGAGGCGATTTGGCGACATTTTGCACCAATGAAAATACAGTATTGTTGGTTGTGACACATAAAAATCTAAAGTAGTACAATGGATGATGGCTACATACTTTGAACTGACATCGCTTGCTCGTGTAAAATTTCCTCCACACATGCCCTATATTGTCGTCACCTATACTGTTTGTTTAGTGAAGTGCGAGGACAATGGTGAAAGGATTCTGTATGTAGATGGCCAAGAACGTAGCATTGTAAAACTGGTTAGTTTAGCAAATGTAGAAGTCTTAGACTCCACACAATGCAGTCACAACTGAAAACCGAGTAGATGGTATTATTACATGTCGAATGTGCTTATGAAATAAATCATAGCTGTGCAGCATACATGGGAGCACACTCATACTTCGCAACAATATAGAGCTTGTGTGGAGGACATTTTACACAAGCAAGCGATGTCAGTTCAAAGTACGTATGTAGCCATCATCCATTGTACTACTGCATCATGTTCACTAGGTCATCCCTGTCTTGTCTCCTTACATCCTATGGCATCTGTATATTCCACACTTTTTAATTCGAATAATTTTTTATTTACTTGTCTCAGTTTATTTTTTACTGCATTCACATTGTATCGTGTGCAATAAAAAGGAATAAAAGGGATACACCATATAAAAAAAGTAACATTAGATACACCATAAACAAATTAAAGAAAAAGTTACATTAGTGGACTTAAGCTATCACCTCAGATGTTTTGTCGTCATTAACATTACGTACATCAGTGCACCAAGTTTCATTCTGAGAGGACCCCTCATAAGCAAGTTATAGGCACTGATATCGCTTAAAAGTCTTTTGTTTATTGTTGTTTACAACCTTGTATTTTCTGTTTCGGTGAACTCTGTATCGTGGTACATCAGTGTACCAAGTTTCATTGTTAGAGGACCCACAATAAGTAATTTATAGGCACAAACACCATTTACAAGTTCTTATTGCCTGAGGCTGTTTGTTGTTGTTTACAAACTTGTAATGTTTAAATTTTGTTACTAATGATGGGTGCATGTGTGTACAAAGTGTTATCATTCTGGGTATTTCCTCTACCTAGTTAGCACACTATTGGTCTACAACATAATGTATGGCCTGGGGCTAATTAAAATGCTCTTGCACGACCTGTCATGGATTCCGATCTTTGTGCAACGTTTTATCTCCATATCTTAAGTTGTTTTTGAGATATGCTTATTGAAACTGAACGACAAAAACAACAACAACAACAACAACGAGAAGAATTTTGAAAACTGACTTTTAAAAGTACCTATTATGCGATTTAAGCCATTTTTTGGATACATGCTCTTTGTGACAATACGGATCAGTCTGATGTAAGATTGAAACTGAATGAAAATTTCTAATGTATGAGCATGGTGCAGGATGACCCGTGTCATCCCTATATACTAAGTACTACTTTACTTAGTGATATCAGGGTGTGAAAAACAGCAATTATGGGTGTGTAGATCATTTCTGCCGGCCTTTAAACGTACTGGCTGCGATGGGGAAAACTGATCTTAAATATAGCACATAGTCTGGGCAGGCTGCTGTGGTTCACAAGCCTCACTCCCTCTGCTGAAGAGAAAGTACAAAAGTGGAGTAGCCTCCCAGCTCTGAATACCAGCACTTGTCTCTGGCAGAATATTGTTGAAGCCTATCAACTGTTGAAGAAGAGATCGCAACACACTCTTACCAAGCTCTCACAAAATTGAAAGTGCAACTACCTACAAGGCTGTCTCTCTTCAGCATAGGCTCATTTACCTAAGCCCACAGTTTCATTGAAATGTCTACCGGTGTATTGCTCCTCTTCTTCCGCGAGAAACTCTGTTTCTTCGGCTCATGTCCATCAGATGAAACTAAATCCATCTGCTGAAGTCAGTACACTTTGTGAATGAGGGAAGGCAGACCTGGGAGACGCTGCTATTGCACGTTTGAACTGGTCAGTGCAACCAGAGTAGTTGAGCTTTATTGCAAGGGTTTATGTCAGAACGACAGTCAGAACTCTCACACTCCTAAGTGATATGTTGCAGTTTATAGGCGCTCTTCCTCGGGTTCTACGCTATCTATAATACATGGCTAAATAAGATGTTATATCTATTTTCAGGTTTTTCTCACAGGACAAGAAGAGATAGAGACAGCATTTGAAATGTTAAAGGTGTGTAGGATTTAATGCATGTATTTGTCCTTACCAATGTTACACAGGTTCGAATTGTTATATTTTCTTATGCATTCTTAGTAGCATTATTACAATGCTTGCGTACCCATAAACTCATGTCAATGTGATTTGACCGTCCATAGAAATGATAATAACCCACTCTTCTACTGATTATTATCGCAACCTACGTTTGTATGAGGACTGAGAGTAAGATCAAAGGAATTCCAGCTAGTCCAAACAACGTAGATGCATAGTGAGCGCTTCCTGCTTAGTCTACAGGTAGTTAGAACATAAAGAGGCCATACGATTTCCCTAAACTTTAGCTGTATGTCAACTCATTTGCATAAACCACAGTGGGTCTACAGGAGTTAGACGATAGTAGGAAATTGGCAGCGTGGAATGCAATTGGGGGCTTTTACACTCTTTGTGTGCTGCTGTTTCTTTACCAGAAGGGAGTGTTTTTAGGCTAGAATGGCCAGAAACTGCTCTAGTATATACGCGGTCTGAAAACTAGCGAAAGCTGCTTCCCGACGCGTGGACTGGAACAGTATTCGGTGACTTTCAGTCTTGCTACTGCAAAAGGCTGCATTCGAGAGTGCTGGGTATAGCGGGAGAGAAAGCGAGCCAGAGCGGCAGCTACAAAACTCGTGTGGAGTCTAGCAGTGAAGCGGTGTAGCTTTGACGTACCTGTAACGTTGAACTCTCGAGAATGACCATGGCTTCTGCACAACCGCCCAGCTTGACTAAACTAAAGCGCTTATTGCAGCTGTCTCTCTCCTGATCAATTGCTTGCTAGCTCTCTCCGTACACTCCAGGGTGTGCGTTAAAAAGAGGGCAGTTTGAAAGCTTTTGCGCAATCTCATTGGTCAGAGCCTTACTGCCGGATGTCATCCTACAAACACGTTATACGATGGGGTTTGGCTTGTGGTCTACTGGTTGCACACTCGTGGCTTCAGTTTTGATGGACCACTCGTGTACAACCAGTAGACCACACGCTGCCATCGTATATCCCTATACATATACCATCTCTAGCTCACTGCCGTATTTCACACTATTGTATTATGGTTGTCCAATTAGTGACAAAGAGAGGGCTTCAATCACAGAGACAGAGACATCTTTATGCCACTCATCTGACTCACATTTTTTATTGCGCTGGATTTGTAGCAGGACATGTTAATAGTATTCAGGAAGGCACAATCCACAACGTTGTGTCTCTGCTTTGCTGCAAGAATTTGCACTGCATTTTTTTGCTCTCTGGACCTATCTCCGTCTAGAAGGGCTCCAAAGTGTGAATCAATAGTAAGCAGAAAGTAATACCGCACAATGTTAAGGGCTCACTCTAGAATAGTGGGACTCAGATTCCACAGTAACTAAACGCCAGTAGAAAGTCTCGTGTCCTAGGGGCAGTGCCCACGCTGAGCTCAGGCCTCCAGCTGCAATCTGTGTTGAAAGTAGTTAGCTCATTCAACTAGAAAAAGAAAAGGAGGAGAAAGTTTGGTTATGGATAGCCCAGGTTCTGGGTCTCTGGCCTCTGACCAATTACTCAAGGGCATTGCTGACACTCGAGAACACAAAGCAACTGTAGCGCACCCTGCAATCTACATAAGCAGTTTCAAGCCACCTCACTGTCCCATAAATATTGCTCTCTGGCCCTCCATAGGTCTGCAACTCCTTAAATATTCCCTTCTTTGGGCCACTTCCCTAATAGGTCATAGTATTTGTAAAAATTGAATTTTATACAGGAGAGAGTTGCCCGTCTTGGATCAAGAATCGGAGAGTTGATTATTCTACCAATATATGCCAATTTGCCGTCTGATATGCAAGCAAAAATTTTTGAACCAACTCCCCCTGGAGCTCGCAAGGTGTGTCAACTGTGTGTTGCTTCACAAGTCCTTTGATTCTGTACTTGCACAGGCCTACTTTTACTACTGTGTGCAATCCCCTCCTTATTGTTATTGATCCTCAGAACAACACCCATCATATTATAGTAGTAGGAAGGTACGTAGGTGGTCCCGCACAGTATGGCGCCAAACCCCATGATTGATATATATATTCCTATGTACATTGTTGTGCTTAATCAAATGCAGGTCGTGTTAGCAACAAACATTGCTGAAACATCACTTACCATCGATGGTATAATCTATGTGATTGACCCAGGATTTTGTAAGCAAAAGAGCTACAATCCTCGAACTGGGATGGAATCACTGGTTGTCGTACCATGCTCAAAGGTGTGTGATTTTAAATTGAGTATGATGTGTATATAGCTATTGTGTGTTTGACTTCCTGGTGTTAAAACAGTATGTCCTTTTGCTGTCCACTCACCTCTAATTCATTAACAGCGAGATCATGGAGAACCAAACATGATTTAGCCCAACTGGTTTTCGAAAAATGTGTGTAACAGTTTTGAAAGATACAACTTTCTGTCTTAAAGCATCTTCCCTCTGGCTACCTGCTCCTCCTTTTATGGTTTATTACTCTCTCCATGCATACGTATGCTGAGTTATAGGCTTAGTAGCAGCCATAACAAGTACATAAAAAGTTCTTCAAATTAAAAAGTGTGGAATATAGGGATGCCATAAAAAGCAAGGAGACAAGACAGGGATGTCCTAGTGAACGTGATGCAGTAGTACAATGGATGATGGCTACATACTTTGAACTGACATCGCTTGCTCGTGTAAAATATCCTCCACACACATTTGACACTCGTCCCGCCCAAGTTTTATCATTCTGGGCATTTGCTCTACCTAGTTAGCACACTATTGATAATGTATGGCCTGGGGCTATTTTTTTTGGGTTTTGTTATTTACATGTAAACAACATTATTTACAAACAAATTAAAATGCTCTTGCATGCCAGGTCATGGATTCCAAACTTTGTGCAAAGTTACATCTCCATATCTTAAGTTATTTTTGAGATACGCTTGTTGAAACTGAACGAAGAAAATTTTTTTAAAGAAATCAAGTACTGATTACGCGAAGCCATTTCTTGGATGCATTCTCTTTGTGATAATTCTGATGTGTCAAAAGTCGGATCTGATTGAAACTGAAAGTGAAACATGAAAATCTCAAATGTATGGGCATAATGCAGGACAACCTGTGTCATCCCTATATACTAAGTACTACCGTACTTAGTGATACTGCTGTCTAGTGCCTGTCCAGTGTATTGTCCTGGTGAAGTTTGAAGACAACCTGCTGTCACACAATTGTCATGTCATGACACTGTTTCCACGCGACTCGGCGCTAACGAATATCGCTGCTGCATGCAAACCTTAGCGACAGAGGTGAGTCTCAGGGCGGCTCGGGCTAAGCCACGCCCCCGGCTGGCAACTGGACTAGCCAGCCACGGGCGGGGGCTCGGCAGCAAGCTTTGTACCGGTGCGCATGCGCGCTACGCATTGATTCGGCGTGTGCGCACTATGCCAGGAAATCCGGCGCATGCGCACTATGCCAGGAGTTCCAGCGCATGTGCACCCACTTGTAGCAAGCCGTAGCGCGCGCAAGCGACCAGTTTCTCGACGTGAGAAATACCTATTACATGCTTGGAGGATAGTATTTCGAGCCTCGGAATACATCTTCCAAACTGCCAGGTCCTGAACTCTTACACACCGGACTGAGCATGAGACTCAGTGTCGGTGGAGACGAACTGGGAACTGGGTGAGGTGGGTGGGGCTTTCGCTGCTGGTGAGCACAGGAGACGAGTTCTCTGTTGCTAGGTAGGCTCGATCTTGAATGATTCGAGGAGCACGCCATAAACCCGGTGCGTGCTAGAGTTGCGCATGCGCGTACCCCTCATTGCGTAATCGCTTCCCCGCAGATGTGACCCGAACCGCCTGGTTAGACGCCCAGTGCGTTAACCTTGTCTAGCTGAAGCTAAACGTCATTTAACCCAACTGGGCGCTAACGAATATCGCTGCTGCATGCAAACCTTAGCGATGTAGGTGAGTCTCAGGGTGGCTCGGGCTAAGCCGCGCCCCCGGCCGGCAACTGGACAAGCCAGCGCATGGGCGGGGGCGCGGCAGCAAGCTTTGTACTGGTGCACATGCGATCTACGCATTGATTCGGCGCATGTGCGCTATGCCAGGAAATCCGGCGCATGCTCACTATGCCCGGAGTTCCAGCACTTGCACACCCGCTCGCAGCAAGCCGCAGAAAGCCGTAGCACGCGCAAGCGACCAGTTTCTCGACGGGAGTGGTACCTAGTATTTTGAGCCTCGGAATACATCTTCCATTGGAGGTTCGGCCCGCCGTACCTCCCTCCAAGCGCGGGTATGTAACGTAATGATAGGGGTAACACCTAACAATACAATTCTCTGTGGACTATGACTGTCATATTGTAGGTATGCTGATGGAAGACGACGGAGAAATCTGTCCTGTTATGATGCTAGCGGAGACGAGACTTCGGCGAGTTTGTCCCGCGGCACCCGCACGTACTGCGTAAATGCTGAGCTTTGCCAATTACCCCGGATCTTTATTACAGAGTCCTCGACTCCCACGCACAAGCGACCAGTTTCTCGACGGGAGGTACCTAGTATTTCGAGCCTCGGAATACATCTTCCATTGGAGGTTTGGCCTGCCGTACCTCCCTCCAAGCGCGGGTATGTAACTACGTAATGATAGGGGTAACACATAACAATGCAATTCTCCGTGGACTATGACTGTCATATTGTAGGTATGCTGATGGAAGACGGCCTCAAGACGGAGAAATCTGTCCTGTTATGATGCTAGCCGAGACGAGACTTCGGCGAGTTTGTCCCGCGGCACCCGCACATACTGCGTAAAGGCTGAGCTTTGGCAATGACCCAGGATCTTTATTACAGAGTCCTCGACTCCCACCGCTGCCGCCGTCGTCGCCTACCCAATACAGAAACTGTGGCCAGAGTAGGGAGATGCGTCTACGCCCGCCACCTGCAACGCCCTCCATAGCTCCCATACCAACGCGGGCCTGGTGAGAGAAGTTCCATCTTGGAAATGAAATAGCGGGCCCGGGGCCAGACCCCTCACCAATATGTAGCTCAGCAACACCACAACCGGGCAGAGATCTCGATCCGTTCTGCCGAGACAGATTGTGACTCAGCTGCGGAACAGATCAGTTTTTGAAGCTTTTATGCGCAGCATTATCTTCGAAGGGAACAGACGCGAGTCCATTGACACGTCCACGATGGACAGATGTATGTCAGGGTCGTACGCGGATGCGGATTGTACCGTTGCTTCCCCGGAGCGCAGAAGCACGCACACGCTGTAGCCCATAGCATCGACGTGTTGAATGAGGCACCCTCCTGCGCCTCCTTCAGCAACCTCGTGATGTCGACTGTAATGGGAAGGCGAATACGGGTCGCCCCAGGCCTAACGGCGGCCTAATGCCCTGTAGAAAGTAGTGTAGCACTACCATGTCGCTTATGTTTGGGTCGGCACCCAGGCTCAAGATCAGAAGGTGCCGGAGGGCCGACTGATAGCCCTTTAACGATGCATGTGCTACCCGTTGGGTTGCCAGTAGCACCACAAACTGATATAAACACTGTTCATTAACTGGTAATGCAGGTATATTTATGGACGAACAGAAGTGCAGGTAACGGGTCTGGGCGGAGGCGTACGTCCTCGACGTTGACGGTGCTAATGCGTGCAAATACCAGTCTCTCCAGTCCGGCGACTTCCAGAATGGTTGTGCCTTGCTGAGCCGAACCTGAAGAGCCACTGGAACCGGGGTTGGGGTGTGGTCCGCCGAAGGGACCTGCACAAAGAAGGAAGGCAGGTCATCGCGCGACAAAGCGTCGGCCAGACTGTTGTCTCGGCCCGGGTTGTGCTGAGCAATTAGCTCGAAATCGAAATGTGCGCTTGTGAAGAACAAGTCCCGGAGCTGGTGGCAAAGGAGAGGCTCCCTTGGCCTTGCCTCTGGAGATTTCCTCCACCACGGCAATGTTGTGGCAGTGGGCACACACCGTTGATCCCCTCCACAGATGACCCCACAACACACAGGCCACCAGGATCGGAAATAGCTCGTCCCACGCCACCTGGAACTAAAGCCCCTTCCAATGCGTGCCGCAGCCCCACGAGCCTGAAGCATCCGAGTGCAGATGAACGTCTGCCTGCAGAGCCTGGCACTGGCATAGGATTGAGACACCAGTGCATGCAGAACGACATCCACCACTCGACGTCCACTTGACATTCGGCGTTGAGCCGGATGCGAAAATGCTTCTGAAAGTGGTGGGTGTTCGCCAGCAGATCGTACAGACGGCGCATAAAGCATCTGCCCGCACGCACAACTTTGCAGGCGTGCTGGAGCTGGCCCACCAGCGACTCTAATTCAGGCCGGACTTACGCCTCTGCCACTCCGCTAATAAAGTCTGGAGCCTCTGCAGCTTCTCCATGGGAAGGCAGAGAGTCGTGGCGACCGAGTCCACCTCGATTCCTAGAATGGTCAGCTGGTTTGCTGGATCCTCTGTTTTGTCCTCCGCAAGAACGACGCCGAGGTTATGTGCAGTCTGCTGCAACGCCCGCAGTCCCTCTTTGCCGCCGGGAGGACAGACAATAATTAAATCATCGATGTAATTTCACCCCTGCCTGGCACACTACCCACTCCAATGCGTCCACCAGGGCAGATAATATCAACGGGGCTGATCGCAGCCAGAGCGGGAACGACGCGTCCACGTAGTAATGCCCCTTCCAGCTCATGCCGAGAAGAATGCTGTCTTGCGGATGGGCCGGCACCTTCCGGTACGCTTGTTTGACATCACTCTTGGCCAGGAGAGAGCCGCGGCCAAGAGCCAGGACACATGCCGCAATCTGATCGACCGAGACATAAGAGAGGGAGCAATCTTCGCCACTAATCGCATCATTGACGCTGGAACCTTCCGGAAAAGACAAGTCCACAATCAGCCAGCCCAGACCCTTTTCTAGCTCGCGCGAGAGAGAGAGGACGGGGTCTGGGGTACGAGACTAAAGCGGGCGCAGGGCGCGGACCGTACTCTCACTGACTTGTGAGCTGCCAACGCTCTCAGCTGAGGCTTGAGGGAACCTAGAGCAAAGAAAAGGAAGCCTGTCGTTACTAATAGCGTAGCTAAGCTTAGATTAGGCGTGAATATTTCACACCCGAAGGTGGAGGGGGCGCTGCCAGACATAATATTATACAGCATACATGAGTAATACAATATACCATATGAATGAGAGGGAGAAGTGACGGCTAGTAAGTCATGATGTCCGTGACCGTGACCACGGGTGATGCTACGCCGGTGGCCTCACTGACTGGACGACGGTTTCGGGGTGAATGAGCAAATCTTCGCTGGGTGCGCCCCTCCGCAATCCCCGCAGATGTGTCGATACTTGCACCTGGGGAAGACGCATGAACCCGTGTTGTATATGGCGCATTTGTCCGAGCTCCATGGCCTGCGTTGCTTGGCTCCCGGCGGGCCCGACGAGGGCGGCGAGGCAAGTCCCTCTTGCGACCGGGAGCGGAGGGGCAGTTCGCGGCGATATGCGGCGAACTGTCACAGATGGAACAGCAGTTTACCGCTTTTGCGCAATCGCTGCCATGTAAATCGAGAAGGCCTTCACCCACTCGGTAATGGTCTCTAGCTGCTTCCGCTTTGGTTTTACCAGCTCACAGCCGGGAAAGAGAGTAAACTTGGCCCGCACCTCCTTTATCTTGTCGTGCCAGGAGTTCGAAGGAAGCAGTTCCACGAGGTCTATGAACTCGAATCTCTGGATCTTGTCGAGGAGAGTCTTCGGGATTGACGGGAGCTGTAAATACCCGCTCTCCCGACAGCTTGCCAGACCGCCGCTCATTGCGTTTAGCACCATGGCCCAAAAGTTCGCCGCCAATTAGAATTTTCTTTTGCATCTTTGCGCTGCATGATATAAATACGGATTTTTTGTACTCTATCCGTGGATCGCTTCACGATACCGTGCGCGGCCGTTCCCCGATCACGCAGTTTTTACGCGATGTTTACTTTGACTGGCTCACCAAAAGGCGAAGGTGTTCTATTCAACGGATTTGCAAATAGTTCAACATGAATACCAATTGTTGCACGTATTTTGTTACCATTTCGACACGTTATGCCTTTGCTTTTATCATATTATTCGGATCATTTGCGCGTTATTTCATTTTTCCATTAACCGTGGAATTTCATCAACCATCGAGTCTGCACTCCACTGGTGAAAGCGCAACTGCCGACGGCCCACCAAGGGCTGATGCGGACCCCGAGGGAGCAGCAGAGTCTGAGTGCGGCAGGCTGGATGCCGAGACCGGCAGCGCTGGGACCAACCATCGCGCCCAAAGGCATGGCCGGCACTGCTGCAAATAAAGAGGTCACGCCATTTTACCCTGCCACACCACCCAAGACAGCTATTAGATTAAAACTACATACTCGTTGTGGCAGAGGAAAGGGACAACAGCCCCCCCCCCCAATCGCACAACAAGCTCCGATATCCAGGGCCACACTATTCAGCTACGGCCCAGCCCCGCTAGCATTTCTACGCCACGCACGCCACCGACGCCACGCACACTGGCGCTACCAAACCCCGCACGCTTACGCCACCGCACCACGCCAGCCCCGCCATGCACACTGACGCCATGCTATGCTGCTGATGCCGGCGCATCAAGCCAGCTGACGCGATGCACCACGCTACGCTAACTCAGTCACGCCACGCACACTGACTCAACGTGCCCTGCTACGTTAAACTAGTCACGCCATGCACGCTGACGCAACGCACCACGCTGAGGTGTATACGCCATGCTGTTGAAACCGGTGCGTCCAGCCTGCTGACACAACGCCCCATGCTACGCTAACACGACGTGCCACGCACGCTTACTCAATGCATCCCGCTGCGCTAAGGCAGTCACGCCACGCCCATCGACGCAGCGCGCTACGCACGCTGGAGTACTCACGCACGCAGCCGCCATGGCTACACACCGCGCTTTCAGGACGACGCCGGCCTGCAACTTTCCCCCGCGACCCTGATGCCGCCCGCCGCTGCTCACAAATCTGCTGAAACAACCAAGCCGTAGGCACAAACGCCGCCGCCAAGCCTGCCCCACAGCCTTCCGCCTGCACTTCGAGGTAGTATACACCGTGCGGACAGACCGCCGCCCTTTCCTTGCCCTGTACAGAAACACAGAAAAAACAATAGTGGAAGCATACCCAAAGCGCCAGTGCTCCCCGACGAGACAGGAGGGCTGCTGGACGCCGGCAGAACAGCCGTGCTGCCGGACTCCCAACTCAGGCCCGCCCGCGAGCCCCCCAGCACTGATGCAGAGCGAAGGAGGGACTGCAGCACACAACCCGCCACCTCGTCCACGATAGTCGACGGTAGCGTCGGTGGCAGACCGGTCGTTGTGGATGCTACGACAGATGTCGACGGCAGGGAACTCACCACGGTTATCACCGACGTTCCCCGAGTTGACGATGAGCTGCTGGCCGTCGACATGATATCACGAGGAAGAGAAAAACAACTTGCGACCAGAGCAAAGAAAAGAGCTTTCGCTGCTAGTGAGCACAGGAGACGGCAGCTGCGTTGCTAGGTTGGCTCGATCTTGAATGATTCGAGGAGCGCACCATAAACCCGGCTCGCGCTAGAGCTGCGCATGCGCGTACCCCTCATTGCATAATCGCTCCCCCGCAGACGTGACCCGAACCGCCCGGTTAGACGCCTAGTGTGTTAACCTTGTCTAGCTGAAGCTAATCGTCATCGATCAAGAGGTGGTGCTTACTGCACATGTGTGTCTGAATTATTCCACATTGAGTGTTTGATTTTCTACTGCCACCATACATGTACATGTTGCATGTGCATTTTTATGTAGGCTTCGTCAAACCAGCGTGCTGGAAGATCTGGTCGTGTTGCTCCAGGGAAATGTTTTAGGCTGTTTACTAGTTGGGCGTATCACAACGAAATGGAAGAGTCTTCTATTCCAGAGGTTAGCCTTTGCATGAGTGGATAGATACCACTGCTACTACATTCATTTTGAACAGAGATACGTATGTACGTGTACAGTACAGCTGTGCACAACGCAATAGGCAACTGCAACTGGCTTCTACGTATCACACAGCGACCAAATATAGGAACCCTGTTGACAGGGTTTTACTGTAATTAACTCTTTGCACACACATGCACAGCAACGGTTACAGTACTAGGTTTGTCTTTGTGTCTACTGGATACCGGGCAGCCTATAAGCAATACAGAGATATGTGGATGAGATTAAAGGAGATTTTTTGTGCGTTCACAGTATTTCACGAGTTTGGTGGTTGCTTCATTCAAAAGATACGTACAACAAATGAAAAGGATACGCACTTAGCAATGGCTTACCTCGACCAGGTTGATGCACCATTAAGGTCTAAAGTTACTTTGGGGGTTTTATATATGGGGTTTTTTCTAAACACTACCTCCTGATGCAGCTAGCATGTTATTTAAAGCAAGAAACTAGCTCCGTAATGGGTTAGACCGTGTGACATGTGCTTTTTGTTCAGTAGCTCTGCTTTTAGTGTATGTGTAGTACTAACAGGTGCAAACACAAGTACAGTTAAGTTAGTCTTTCAGTGTATTACAAATCAAGCTTTTGGCTGGAGTTGCACCATTGGGACAGTGACTATTGGCAAAACACATGGTAAGAGACAGATAAAAGACAGACGTACCTACAACCCTCACTGTGTGAGTGCGGTTAACAATGGCCCACAGCTCATCAAACTTGTGAAATACTGTGAACGCACAAAATTTGCACCCACTATTCCTCACTTTTGTAGGATTGTCATGAGTTTATATTAATATGATGCATTTTTTTTCATAGATTCAGCGTACTAATCTTGGAAATGTGGCTCTTTTGTTAAAGAGTTTGGGTATAAATGACCTGATTCATTTTGACTTCATGGATCCTCCACCTCCTGAGACTTTGGTTCTTGCACTGGAACAACTTTATGCTCTTGGAGCTTTGAATCACATGGGAGAGTTGACTAAGGTCTGTAGTGCAGTATATGGATAGTGCTTAACCGTGCAGTTGCCGTAGGAAAATGCACATTCCGAACACCCCAGAGACTGCGTATAAAAGGGGGCGCACCAGTGTTGCTCAAATTCAAAAACATTTTCACCCGTCGGTTGAAGTGAAGATGGCAAGCGTCTTTACCGCTCCACTGTCAGGCTCCACGTGAGCCATTTTCCACACAAACCGGCTAACATGAGCCATTTTATGACCATGTACCAGCAAGCAAACAAAAAAACCTGGCAGCCGCAGCTTGCGAGCCAGCTCACGGTCGAGCAGTTCCAAGTAAAGAAACGGACAGACAGCTCGCCTCTGCAGGCAGTATACACTAATGACCTATGCCATTCCTGAAAAGAGTGCACGCTCTTACTCTGTACAATGTAGCTTACAGACCAGAGAAGGTCGACCAACAGTTGGCTCGATCGGCAGGATCTTAGAAGCCAACTTCCCAATGTTGAGAATCGATGAAAACTCGCAGAAGACCCCTGAAAATGCCACAGCAGAGCTACCAGGCAAACTCAACTCGAACGAAAAGCTTCGCAGGTGCTATTTTTAGCGTAAAGACGACCGAGCTAGCGAGACACGGCCAGCGTGAAGAATGCCAGCGCCCCAGGAGTGTTTGGCTTGTGTTTCATATGGGTTTAGACCGTAATTCTTGCTTGTAGACGCTTATACAGTGTGACAGTAGCGTGTACGTACCAAACAGCGGTTTGTACCAGCCGCCATTTGCGTCTTTGTCGACCAAACTCCAAAATCGTCAAAATCTAATTTCTCCCGTACCGGTGCACCCTCCTTTATGCACGGACTTCACGTTTAAGTGACGGCATCACATCTGTTCCCAAAGCTTCATGAGTTATCTCTTCGAGAATTCGCCCATAATAATGTCGGGAGATTCTCATTTAGTTGTTGCATAACGTAAAGCTAAACTCCACCACATGTATGTGATCAAACACGCAGGAATACTTTAATGTTAAAGGTTGGAAGGAAAATGGCTGAATTTCCAGTTGACCCTATGATGTCTAAAATGCTGATTGCTTCAGAAAAGTGAGTTTGACAATCATGTGTGGTGTACCACGACTAGCAAATTGTATTATTAATTAACCTGCCAATGATCAATCACTTCTCCGCCGGTATTTGCCGGTTCAGCCTATCATGAGGCAGTGATGCTCTACATCTCCTCTCATACCACTACCACACACTACGACTGATGCACCTACGTAGTCTGAAAACAGTGGCACCTTGCCAAATATTTGCTGTGCTACATAGAGCCTCTACCGGCACTCTGATAATGGTTCATGTGTGTATTTCATTTTATAGGTATAAATGTTCAGAGGAAATTGTAACCATCTCTGCAATGTTGTCTGTTAACAATGCTATTTTTTATAGACCCAAAGTAAGTTAAAGTCACAGACTCACTAATAAACTGTAGTGCACAGAGTCTCTTGGCAATAGATTGGCAAAAATGTGTACCTAAAATTCCATCTCCTGCAACATCCCTCACCTGTAATCCATTGTATCACAAGTTGAAAGCACTATCTATGTAGCTTGTAAAGTGTGATTGTAAACTACGCACTGATCATTTAATTTGTGAACATAGCATGAGTGTCTGATATATATAGAACAAATGGTATAGTTACAATTTTTACCAATTATTTCTGACAAATTTGTCGCAGGTTATAACCTTTTTGTGGTTCTCCAGTGTGTGTGTGTGTGTGCAGATACAGCCCTTGGGCAAATACTTTTAAGCTTACAATACACAATGCCTTGGGTCTGGAATAGATAGGACCTATGTATGGTCTACTGACTATCTTTCATGTAACAAGTTACCTTTTGTGGTTTTGCAGGACCGTGCAGTATATGCAGATACAGCCCGAGCCAACTTCTTTCGCCCTGGTGGTGATCATCTCACACTGCTTAGTGTTTACAATGAGGTAAATTGTCCAGGGAAGACAGGTGTTCATTGTAACCGATTACATGCCGCTGTCACCTGCACTACATGCTGTTGTCGCCTGCACGTGATCACAGATGTGCGTGCTCGCAGCACTGCTGTTGCTTATAAGCAACACACAAATACGTACCTGTTAGTGTCAAGGTTCTGTCGTTCCACAGTCGTGGGGGGCTATATCCTTTCATGAACGCTTGCACTAAATTGCAGCTAGCTTAAAGTGCACTTTGAACTTTAATAACGAGAGAACGGACGAGGTTTACGAATGCGGGTTAATAATCCGTCCCCATCATTACCGTGTGCGCATGCATCAAGGCGTGTCTGCACTACCTTATGAACCGTGTTCAATCCCGTCGGAACTAGGTCTGCAATGCGGATCCACGTGAATCGACTAGATCCACCTGCAGAGGTCAATGGACCTGAATTGAGCAATGCTAACACATGACATTCATGCACGTACGCCCGGCTTGCCATGCACCGCGGTGTCTCTGCGCAAAAGTGCACTTAATTCCACCAGTGTGTTCGCCAGTGCCTTACAGGCTGTATAGTGAATAAGATGATCTGTTTCTAGCCAAGTACATATAAGCAACAGCGGAAAAAGAAGCTGTAGATGTAGACTATGAGAATTCAGGGAACTTCCTCTCAGATAACAACATATTTATTGGTTCTCAGGGAGTATATCTTGCCGAGCACAAAGACAAGCTGGGGTCTGCAGAGGCCCAAGAGTGTTTTGGTAGTGTACAAAACCACTACTGTGAAGCTACACATTAAAGAAACCCATTTGGTGATGCTGTTCTAGACCCAGAAAAGAGGCTAAGTATTACTCAATGGCTATTACAGAACTGGAGAGGCAGTTTCCAAATCTTGTATATAACCTAGTGATGATATTGACAAACTGCTTGATGAGTTTCTGGAGTACCAACACATTGGGTCTTGATGCTTAGCTGTTGAACAATGTGGAGACACCCATTGACGTGTTTTGACATGCAATCAGTTTTCAGCTCAGGGGGAATGTCAAAAGATTCCAAAGGTTATGAAAATGGTCAGTCTTCCTAATAGCAATGCAGCTTCTGAATGAACATTTAGCAGGGTTTAGGCCATCAAAACTGATGCTCGTAATTGTGTCTTAACAATACTACACTCTTGTCCTTTGCAAGTTAAAATCGACTGCAAATCTTTTGAACTTCACCCGTTAACCGAATGTATAAGTCACTCACAAAGAAGTCCTAACTGCACAGCTATACCATGTGTGTGTTGTTGATGTAAAATTAAAGGAGGGAAGCATTTACTATCAAATATCCTGCGAAGAGTCAGAAGAAGACATAATTTTCACCGAACTCTTTACTTCGAAGCGTATTGCTATTGGGTGCATAAAATAATGCCAATTGATTACGATATAAAAGTGTATAGCACACTAGGTATAATTTTATGTTGCGCAGACATTATTTGCTTTACTTCCTTATAGTGGCAGTCTTCTGGGTACTCAATGCAGTGGTGTTTTGACAATTTTATCCAGTACAGGTGAATTGTAATGTTGTGCATAAGAATGTTTACAGTGGAACCTTTATTAACGGACGCCCTGTACAGTGGACACCTACTAATAAGCGGACAACGCCAATGCACGGTACTTGCAACCCCATTACTACACGTACATAAACCTCCATTTGACAAGTACCTCTATAGCAGACAGTCACCCCATACTCTAACACCAACGTCTTACTATGGACAATGGGGTGTGGCATGGACGAATGATCAGCTCGGTCCTGTGGTGTCCATAATAAAATGGTTCCACTGTATGTCTATTTTTACCACTTTTGTTAACCCTCAGTATCATGAAAAAACATGTTTATAGCATACTAGCTCAGAGGAAAAGAAAGAACCTCCCCCACCCAAGCACACAAAACACAGACAATAACATACCCAAACGTACAAAAACACAGACAATAACATATAAACAGAAAGAAAGAGGCAGGACCCTGGGTGCCCAGCCTTGAGAACCGGGGCGGTAGGTTAAAGAGTCTTTTATGGGCCCAACTCTCCCTACACACCCAGTGTCCCAACCTCCCTTACACATAGTTATAAAATAATAGATAGAAATCATGTACAAAAAACGACAGCTACAGGATAAAAACAACAGCCGGTAGAAAAATAGAATGCACAGCGAGGGTTACAGTAGTTGGTTTGTCTGTCTGTATGTCTGTCGACACTTACTCTGGCACTACAGGCTACGAGGCGGCCTATTAGCGATACTAGCAGCTTTAGAACTATGCAAGCCTGAAAAATAAAAAGGCAACCTGCTCTATGTAACTTGGAGGCTCAAGAAGTCATAACAAGGTGTCCCAAGAGACCTTAGTGCTACAAGTACTGCTATATATACTAGCAGAAGATCAAAACGGTGCCCAATTATTTGATATAAGTCCCATAATCATGTTATTGAAGCAAAAGAACAATCTGACAGAAAGAAACACTCTTGTCTACGGTAGCATCTTTGAGGACAGTAAAAGTTTACCGCTCGTTTATGGTTTGATCCTTCGGGGATGAGTGACTTTCAGACTTTAAGACCTATATTGCTAGATGCTAAATACTTGGCAAGTTACAGAGGTTTTAGTCAATCTGGAATGGATATCTACGCTGCTACAGCTACGCAGCATTTCACTACATTAGGGGTTAGATGCCAAGTCCAAAACTACACACATTAGAGAGCTACGGGGGCACTGAGCTGTCGGTGTTTGAATGCAACGAGGATGCTATTAAGGCCACCAAAGCTCTCTAATGTGTGTAGATTTTCATTTGGTGTAGCTGAAATGGCGAACGAGCACTACTTTTTGCTCAGGCATTGAGCTAGAAGCCCAGGGAAGAACTGGATGACCGGATTGTCTCAACCACAGGGGTCTCTGCCCACCAAACTATTGTTAGCACCGCGTATGCGCAAAATTTAGAGTCCGCTTTTCTGGACTCTAATTTGAAGTTTCCAGACACTGCATAAATGAAAAGTGCAAACGCTTGGCAAACTGCGCGTGCACGGTAGATCTAATTGATGGGCTGGGCTGGGCTATTAGTATGCATTTACTCGTGGTCTCCTGCTAGTAGCTCGCGGAGAGCCTGACACAGGCTGATACAGCAGTAGATAGCATGCAGGAGTCGATACACGCCCTTCATAGTGACTTCTTGGCCTTCAAGATACACAGAGCAAGCCAGTCTGATTCCCAGCCCCTTCCTCTTGTGCGCATGCATGAGAGAGGAAGGAAGGGTCTGGTTAATGTCTATACCCTAGTGCGGATCCTTGGCTGGAATGAAAAAGGTGTTAGAATGCAATTACAAGCCACAACTACCATTACATATACGTGCGCACCGCCGGTAGCCACCTGTAGAGATCGACGTAGCTAGCGGTAGTCCTGTCCCCAGTTGTTTCGATGACGAAACCATGGAAAGCGCAATCGAGTGGAGAGTGCAGCAAAAGTCGGTTTTGCAGCCTTGAAGCCGAAGAAAAGGGAAGCAATCAGCGCGTTTGTTATTTACACCGATGTCCCACTCAGCACTCTACGATCTTTGGCAGTCTTCAAAACTTTGCCAGATGCTGTACAGACGCCGGTTATGGAAGTCTACTCCGAGGTTTTTCTCTGCACCGGATCGCTACAGCAGCCAGCTACGATGAGATTCATAGCATAACGTTTTTACCGCAACATTTGAGATATGGCGACGTAACTGAATTCCAGGATCGGCGCTAGGGTATAGACATTTACCAGACCCTTCCTTCCCTTTGTCACGCATGTGCACAAAAGGAAGGGGCTGGGAACCAGACAAAGAGCAAGTGGACCCGCTCGAGATAAGCTTGTTTTAATTAGCATATTCACTTTTTCGTTCGTGTTTCACGCCATAACTCTCTAACGCAGCAGTTTCAGAGAAAACCCCACATATTTTTCTACCTATACCCGGCACTGAATACGTTGTAAGTGATTGATGGCTCGTGGAAGTGAGATGTCGAGTAACGGACTGACAGACACACACGACAACTACCATAACCCTCGCTGCGCATGCACGCCGAGGGCTAATAAGAGCCTACGCATATGTGTGATTTTAATGCTCCAACACATGTGAGTTCTGTATGCCACACCACTCTTTCCAGCTTAAGGCTGTCTGCATCACATGGCTATAGCAAGCACATGCTCACCAATTTTTGCACATGTGTGCTATCACGTGTGCCGATAACAGTTATTGATTTCAAGGATCTGCAGCTGTTATGTGTAATCCCTAACCTAAGGATATATATAGTTTAATCCTGAAGTGATTTTCATCTACAGTGTTTATGGTAGTTCTGCCTGTTTTAGTGATTAGATCAACATTATTCAATTATTCAATTACTCCTCTTTTTCAGGTCAATGAGACGAGCAAGGGATGTAAGAGAGCAGATTGAAGGGTTAATTACAAGAGTTGAGATTGAAATGGTATCAAATGCCTCAGAAGATGTTCCAATTCGAAAGGTAGAGCTAGCTAAAAAGTAACTTTTGTTTATTATTACTAAATTGGTTTTTACAGGCAATTACAGCTGGTTATTACTATCACACTGGTGTTTTGTCAAAAGGTGGCTATAAGACAGTTAAACATCAGCAGGTATAATTTTACAACAAGCATTGATCCGTGAGTACTGTGCATTTTTTTTCGTTCTTGATATAGACAGTTCACATTCATCCAACAAGCAGCTTATTTGAGAAATTGCCACGGTGGGTTGTGTATTACGAGCTGGTGTTCACTACAAAAGAGTATATGAGACAGGTAAGAGGCACAGAAACCTGCCAGTACGTATGTAACTCAGTCCACATGGTCTGTGTAGAAATACGGAGTCAAAGTTTTTGGGATGCCATGAAGCCTGGGAGCGTAACACCTAAGAATGTGGATTTGCCAGTGTAAACCCCCTAGGGACATCGGAAAGGGCTATCTGGCTATTTTTTATATCACCCTTAAACTTTACATGAAGAATTTGTACAAAGGTTGCTTTCTGAGTGAAGTTGGCCCCTCCTCTTCGTTCTTTAAGTGCGAGTGGTTCAGTTTTCTCTATCCCTGATAATCCACAAGTACACTACATGCTACAGTCGCGGGTCTTACTTAAGGGATTAGAGTGGGCGACATTAACTGAATAATGGCATTTTGTTTTCTGCAGGTTATAGAAATAGAAAGTTCGTGGTTATTGGATGTTGCCCCCCATTACTACAAACAAAATGACCTCAGTGAGAGTAACAAAAGGATCCCAAAGAACTTTAAGTCGTAGCTTCTAACAATTCATTTTTTATCCTTTTTTTTGTGTCCACTTTTGTGTATCTACCAGTGTTTTTGATGACGCATGATAAGTAAATCTATCACTGTGAAAGTAAGGATACAACAGTGAAAGGCAATGAAATTTCTGAGGCTAATTTTGAAGGTATACATATTAATGAAGCGATCTTTCTTCGCCTGTTGTCAGTATAGTACACATTGATGGTGATGCCTATTTGCCCAGAGACAAATCATCAAGTAAAACTGCCAAAAAGAGCGCATAATTCACATTGTGTGCATTGGGGCAATGCTCTGTGGCACATCAGTCAATAGTTTAAGTTTATGTCCATTATGGTAAAGGTGACTGTTGGAGTTACTGTTCACCCACAATATTTGTAAAGACCACTGTAACTTTCAACACAAACAGCTCCCTGGACCCATGGTTTCATTTTGGGTGGCAATGAGGAGTTGCATGACCTGTTGTTTGTGAGGTCTCTTGTATATACAAGAGGAAATGGGTTAGGGAAAATGGTCAACTGGGACCAAAATGATGGGGGTAAGTAGATTTTTTTCCTCTTGATCATCACTCGATGCTGGTGTGGCAAGAATAGACAACTTTGCTTTGCCAAGTTGATGATTGCTACCAATTTAGCAGTTGAATATATCTTTTTTGTACTTTGTACACGTATGTTGTCACACTTTACCATCTTCGGTTCTGGTCACCATAACTACTCACAAATTGCAGTCTATAATACCTATGGGCCACAAAACCAAGCAGTGAAACTCTCAAACTGTTTTGCCCACAAAATTATAATTGGCGAATCGAGCGAACCAACACTGTCCTGTCTAGGGCACTGCAATATATTTGTTGGATATCCCTAGCAACCGACATGTATGACATCGCGCAGGATAGTATAATATGCTCATAAAGCTCCCCAGCACGTAGCTTCATACATGTCGGTTGCTTAGGGACATCCAACAAGCAGTGTTGCAAAAAATAAAAGCTGGTATGGAAGACAATGTGCATAATGTGCTCCCGCTTGCCAATAACAGTCACTTGGTAGAAATGGAGTCTTCCAGTGAATAGCGACCACAGACACAACACCGGGGAACCGCCACATAATTTTTCCAATAATGATTGTTGAACGTAAATTTGATCATGTACAGAAAACACGAGAGACCTACTTATAGAAATCATGTTCTTGATCATCTTTCCGTATAGCTTTTTTGTAAGCCTTTTCAAAGTCCTTGGAGAGAATGATATATCTATTCTCTCTCACTGCTTGCATACCACCCTGCAAAGAGAAAAACAGGTACTCAAGAAGAGCAATACCACTTACACCATACCAACTCTACACAGCTAGCAGCGCGAGCTGCCATCTCGAATAATTTTACTTCAGCAAAGCGGTAATACACGGGCCTGAGTTACTGTTTCTCCCTAAACATTGACATAACGAGGATGTCAAGCAGAGCATAACTAACCACACACATTCATTTGGCAGTACCATTATTCATAATGTAGGTCAAACAAAACTTGCTATGACACACCACTCTCATGGCAAGTAAAGTATTATACATCATCCCTTACGCAGACAAGTTAAAAGTTAGTTAGCACTGGTGATCATACCACAAAGTTCCTTAAAGTCTTTGGTTCATAAATATTAGGGGTCAGTCTGGTTCATAGGACACGATCAGTCTTTGTTTTATAGGTCAGTCTTTGGTTCATAAATATTATAGGTCACGATCAGTCTTAAATTTATAGGTCAGTCGTTTGTTCATAAATATTATACGAGGGCTCAGGCTAGCGAAGATGAACTGGCTGTTGGTAAGTATAAGGTAATGCTCACTGTGACAAAATGTTGCAATTTAGGCTTTTGGACTGTGCTTGATGTGCTCATATGAAAAAGTAAATTTAAAAATTCTTCCAATTAAAGAAGTGTGGAATATAGGCTTTTAATTTTTTTGTAAACAATGTCGCGAAGCATGAGTGTGCTCCCTCATATATGGAATGACTCATTTCCTAAGCACGTAATGCACATTTGTTGCCCTCTCTCACAGCTACTCGGTTTTTAGTTGTGACTGCATGTGTGCAGTCTAAGACTTCCATGTTTGCTCAACTAACGATGAGTTTACAATGCTGTGTTTGTGGCCCTCCAGAGAATCTCTTTACCATTGTCCTTACACTAAACAAATTCATGTTGTGAGAAGTGGCGAAAATATAAGGGCTTGTGTGGAGGAAAATTTACACAAGCAAGCAATATCAGTTTGAAGGTGTAACCATCATCCCATTGTACTAATGCACTACGTCATCCCTGTCTTGTCTCCTGGGTTCCAATCTTTGTGCAAAGTTTCATCTCCATATCTTAAGTGGTTTTTCAGATACGCTTGTTGGAACTGAACAACAACAACGACGAGAAGGAGAAGAAAATTGAAAGCGATTTAAGCCATTTCTTGGATCATGCTCTTTGTGACGATACGGACTCAGTCTGATGTGTCAAAAGTTGGATCTGATTGAAACTGAAAGTGAAACATGAACATCTCAAATGTATGGGCATAATGCAGGACAACTTGTGTCATCCCTATATACTAAGTACTACCGTACTTGTGATAACCCTACACTCTTAAGGTTTCTTGTTATCCAGTGTCAAGAAAACCTTAGCCCTCCAAACCCCAAAGGAACACAGGGGTAAACACATACCTCTTGACAGATGGCATTGATGTCTGCTCCACTGATTTTTTCTGCCCTAGCAATATCTATTCTTTTGTTAAAGTTACACACTGAGAATAGGATAGTTTCCTGTCTTTCCTACTACCACTGCAAATTAAAATAACTGAAGTGCGAACCCTCGGGGAACTGGGCATGCACTCTACCGGTAATTGATGGGCTGGGGTATTATGTCTCCCGCTAAAAGCTCGCGGAGAGAGTCTTACAGGAGCTAGCTACACTATTAGCGTGAATCGATACACGCCCTTCGTTGTGACTTCACACAGAGCAAGCGGACCACTCTAGGTAAGCATGTGCTAATTAGCATATTGGCTTGTTTACTTGGTTTTCACTCTAACTCCAGAACACAGAATTTGTGTGAAAATCGCCTTCTAAAATAAAGCCAGTGTAGCACTGAACTCGCTATTTAGCCGATTTCTTGCGCGTGGTGGCAGAAAACGTGGCAATGGACAGATGGAGGGACGGAGATAGACATACTCACAAACCAAGTTCCGTAACCCTTCATGCGCATGCGCCCCGAGGGTTAATAATCAGACAAGTTGTTGACAGGAATTTCGATTTAAATTCAACATTGCCTCCCTCTACACCCACCCCACCAACACATAAACATACACACTATAACTCCAAGTGACAAAAAGATACAATCCTCTAGATCCACTTCCTCTGACAGATTCATCTTTGCTGTTATAGTAGAGAATATTAAGCGTTTCTGTCTACGATCAGGCAAAGGGAATTCAATTTTTCGATCTAGCCGCCCTGGCCTCAAAAGAGCTGGATCAAGAGTATCAGCACGGTTTGTGGCCATTATCACCTGAAAATACAAGTGAGCAGTGACTATAGCAAACCAAAAAAATGGCATGTTTGCATGGTATTTGTACTTATTAACCCTCGGTGCCCATGTGCAGCGAGGGTTACGGTAGTTGGGTCTGTCTGTCTGTTACTCTACATCTCACTTCTCGAGTGTTCGTTCGTCTCACAAAGGATACGACCTACTTAACGGGCAATGAAGGTCAGAAATTTCGAACGGTTTTCTCTGAAACCGCTCCATTGCAAAGCTAGAGCGCTTCCACCATTGTACGGCTAATGCGTAGTCGCCCATTTTTATCGCTGCGGAAAATGTGCATGCGCTTATATTTTCAACGGGCTTTAACCTCGACCGGGTCCGCTTGCTCTGGTCAGAAATTTCGAACGGTTTTCTCTGAAAACGCTCCGTTGCAAAGCTAGAGCGCTTCCACCATTGTATGCCTAATGTGTAGTCGGCCATTTTTTTATCGCTGCGGAAAATGCACATGCGCTTATGGGTCCGCTTGCTCTGTGTATCTTGAAGGCACAAGAAGACACAACGAAGGGCGTGTATCGACTCTCGCATGCTATCTACTACTGTAGCTAGCCCGTGTCAGACTCTCTGCGAGCTACATGCGGGAGACCACGAGTAAACGCATACTAATAGCAGCCCAGTCCATCAATTAGCTGGTACCGCGCATGCCCAGTTCGCCGAGGGTTTGCACTTTAGTGCTTTTCATTGTGATAGGCTGTGGGGATAATAGTTAATACCGCTGACATTTAATACCTCTGTTCTATAAAGATTATTAAACAATACCTTCACATTCACGGACTGGTCAAATCCATCCATTTGGTTTAACAGTTCCAGGAGAATACGCTGTACTTCACGGTCAGCTTTTGAAAGAAAGTAAATTAGCTTAGTCGAGTCAGTTTCTGCATTTAGTCACGCAGTAAGGGTTACAGTACTGTTGTTCTGTTGGTGTGTTTGTGTGTGTTCTGTCCATCTGTCTGTTACCACGTTTTCTGCGACCACACGCAACGAGACAATAAAACTGCGATGCCAACGGGTTCATCGCTACACTGGCTTCATGTTTTAAATAACTACTGCGTTCAAAAGTTGAAAAGCAAGTGAACAAGCCCATATGCAAATTAGCACAGGCTTATATACCTCGACTTGTAACCCAGCCCATCAATTAGCGGTACCGTGTGTGCAGTTTGCCGACGGTTTGCACATTAGTGCTTATATTTATTTTTAGTAACAGTGCCACATTCCCCTTAAAAGCACTCCACACTATTCAGAAACAGACAAGACTAAGCTAGTATGGTTTTTGGTATCCCTGTGAAGCATAACTTGGTAATGTTGGTGCATATGTAACAAAATGGCGATGGTGGTGGCAAGCACACCTCCTGTCTGAGCATCAAATCTCTTTGTTGCTATAGCATCAATCTCATCTATAAAGATGATAGCTGGAGAATTCTCCCTCGCCAAGCGGAAGACATCCCTCACCATGCGTGGACCCTCTCCTAGGTACTTCTGAACAAACTCAGATCCAACAACCCTAATGAAAGAGGCTAAACAACAATAGTACGTGAATAACACTAGCAGGGAAATACTGAGCATTTGCGCAGTTGGATGATGTTCAGTGACCCACCTTAAGAAGTATACTTATTGGGTCCTTACTCTACTCTTATGCATTAGACCTAGGGTTCTGTGTTATTGGGTGCCTAAGTATAAGTTACATACATAGTAAGCAAGGCACTGTTGAGTACACCAAATGCCTAGCTTTGAGAACCAAGACCATAAGACCCCACCCCCACACACAGTGTGCTCCAATTCTCATGTTAAAAAAAACAACGTATCATCCTTTAACGCAGCAATGACTCCAGCAAGGTAAATTGAACGTTCAAAAACAATCATGCAGCACACTTCCTACACAAAGATGGGCGTTTCCTTACACAAGTCAAATACCTGTTGTGTGATGAGCAACAGCTTTGGCCAGCATTGTTTTACCACATCCAGGCGGTCCAAACATGAGCACACCTCGAGGAGGGTCTATTCCAATCTGCTTATACAGCTCAAACTGTGTGAGAGGCAATTCTACTGCCTCTCTCATCTCCTGCTTTTGTATGTCCATTCCACCTAAATCAAGTACAACTCTACGTATCAGATATGTATGTAGCTTCGTTCCCAAGATCCCACTTCCGCACGCACGTTTTATGACACTGGTTGGAGCTGCCTTTCGAGCGACATTATATAAAAAGTAGCCATGATACGATGCCGCGTTTGCAACAGCTCCAAGATATCACAAACGATCATTATAGGGTCAAAGTGTCAGGTATGTATGTGTCAGGTATGTATATATGTGCCACGTCAGCTCTAACAATAAGGATAATCTCTTGAGTGGTTGCAATTGTGGCAGCGTATCATATGTAGGTACTTTGAAAGAGGCTCAAGGGATGGCTATAGCAATTAGGTCATCCTCTGCCTGGTCCTTGAAAAAAATCTACATGTTGCTCCACCTACTCCTTTGCATAAGTGTCGACCTGGACAAATTCCCAGATGTACCAGGTTTCAAATTCCGCTTTTCTCTTAGTCAAAGGTCATACACAGCACATGGACAGGGGAGCCTGGGAACGAGGAGAGATATGCTCCACCAGAATGCAAAAACACTTCACTAAAATCACTTCACTAAAATAACGCACAGTCATAATAAAATCTTTCACTAAATAGGTAATAGATAGTAGGTAAACAAGTACACATGCTTACAATGTACAAGTATATTATACATAAATTCAACAGTAAACTTATTCCACAACATCAACTCTCAAACTACCGTAGCCTCATCCAAGATCTCTCTCTCCACAATACAACGTGTGACAATGTGTGCATCTTTCACATATGTACCACCATGATTGTGTATCAAAGGTGTGTGGGCCTGGAAACTAATACACACAAACCTATGTCAGCGTAAGAGATATCTGGCTTCTCATCTGCACTTAGCATAGCAATAGAGCTATCAGCCTCGGGAGGAAGAACATCTACTAATGCATTGGAGTGTTTGTGTAGAGCAACTGATGAGTTTGGCTTCAACAGCTCTCTGTCAATGGTACTCAGTATGCGAACGTAGTAGTTTGGTCCCATTGTGCTACCAACAATTCCGTAGTTTTGATCTACAGCTTCCAAAAACTGTCCAATTACAAGTGGCACAGACTGTATACGTTTCACTTCTTCTTGAGCATACAAATACTCAGATCTGAGATTCTTTAGTTCATCTTTTATGTAATCTTCCTGTACCTAAGAATGATAAGATCCATAACCACAGTATTAGACATTTGTATAATTATACCGAAATTACAATAGTGCAAACAGCGCAAGCTCTTATGCCTACAACAGGCAGCTGGCCGGGCTGCTAGATGATGACAGGTTTCTCTGGGGACACTCATAGCCTTTCACTTTCAGCAACTTTGTCACTGAATTGCCCAAATTCACCATTTCTATTCTAACTCTTGTCTGTGCAGCAGTACTGCAGTTTTTATCAGTCAGAATGTAGAACAATATTGATGCTCACTGTTAGGCATGTGCATTATCAACTTGTCCTTATGGGCACCAGTGTTGGATTTAGCTAAACAAAGTAAGGAAAAAGGAAGAGTAACTTGGGACAACAATGAAGCTGCTGCTATGCTTATTGTACTATGCTATTTTGCTGCCAGTATTTGGAACATGCGTGTATATCAACTGCAAATTTAAATCATAAACATGATACTGCGAAACGAACTATACATGCCCACATATCCCTGTTTGATCATAGGTTCTTTAGCAGGAGTATGTTGAGAGGGCACACCTTTAACCATAAGCACAGGACTTGTTGAATTATGATAACATCTATGTGTTCAGGAACATGTTAGAAGTACCTGTAAGAATTCTAGTTGCTTCTGAAGGTTTTTGTAATGGATGTACAAATCATCACCAACTAGAACACCTTCTGAAGAAGTGGATGGCTGATGTGGTGAACGACTTTGACTCTTCTACCAACAGCAATGAGAGAAACATCAGGGTAAAAAAATTGTATAGCAACACAGTTACAAGGGAATAATGAAAAGCACTAAAGTGCAAACCCTCGGTGCATACAAGCATGAAATAATACGCATTGCAACACCAATACACATGCGCGGGATGGCTGGGCCACACGATCAATTCATGCATGGTTTTTTTGCAACAGGCTAGCTTGCTGAGAGTCTGACAAGGCTAAGTAGATAAGAGTTATAGGCATTGTGGGACTCGATACTTGTCATCCGTCGCAACTTCTGGTGCCTCCACAGTGAACAACGAGGGCACGAGGTAAGCCATTGGTAATTAATATAGGTTATACTGCGAGTCCATAAAAATACGTCATTTAGAAAGTCGAGGGCACTGGGCTGTAGCAGTTAGCGAGTGTAAAATTAGGCCAGGGGATATCTCCCCACGCTAGCCCTTACAACAATGCCACTGTCATTTTGGCTTTATTCGGTTTGTCCTAGAGGCACGAAAAAGAAACGGCGAACAATATCCACCGAACTCTCTACTTCACATACATAGTAATGGGATTGGTCAGGTACATTAGGTGGAGTGGAAGATATATTGACGTCCTCAAAGACCTCGAATTTCGCGACTTTCATGGCACTCTAGATTCTGAAATGAAACGGCTGCAGAGTGAAGGTGTTGGTTTAATCAAACGGGAGGTGGAAGTCATAACAGTGGAGGAGGAGGAAACCCTCTGGCAAAAAGGTTTCCTCGGCGACTCAAACCCACAGGTCCTCTTGGACACAATGATCTACAACAGTGGCCTGTACTTTGCCCTGTGTAGAGGCAAAGAGCATCGGCAGTTACGAAACTCGCCGTGCCAGATCCAGGTGGTGGAACGGCCAGGTGAGAGAGCCTACTTACGGTACACAGAGGATGTCTCCAAAAATTATCATGGTGGGCTGAATGGTCGCAGGGTCCAACAGAAAGTCGTCCTCCACCATGCCAACCAGGATTCCCCGGGCCGTTGCTTTGTGCGTCTGTTTAAACTGTACAGGCAGCGATGTCCGCCAGATGGTCCACCACATGCCTTCCATCTGCAGCCTCTACGCAAACCAACCCCGAACTGTTGGTATTCGTCACGACCTTTGGGCCACACGACACTAGCGTAGACGGTCGAATTTGCAAGAATGCCGGCATACCATGGCATAAAACCAACCACTCCTTGCGTGCCACCACTGCCACAAGGCTTTACCAGAGCGGCGTTGATGAACAACTAGTGGAGAGGACTGGACACCGAAGCCTAGACGGGGTGAGGTCTTACAAGCGGACGTCCGCCAGCCAGAGGGAGGCTCTCTCTGATATACTAAACAGGCAGGGCACCCCGAGCACTGTAACCGAGCGGTCGACAGTTACTGTTCAGTCTTCTAAAACAGCCAGCTTCTGCAGGGTCTTAGTCTCCCCTCTGCAACCTTCTCACACTGTTCACTTTAAACATCGGATGTGTCAGCGGTGGGGAATAAAATCAGAAACCACCAAGAAAGAGGCGGGCAGTGATCTTGGACGACTCATACTCCGAGTAACACTAGAGTACACAGCTCAAAACTGCAAACCGTCTAGTTGCTACCACTACCAGCACATCTATCTGCCGTCACACACGCAGGAAAACCTACGCGCATGTGCATTATTTTGTAGCAGTTAGCGAGCGTAAAATTAGGCCAGGGGGTATCTCCGTGGGAAACACACACTTGGAAAATACAGGATTTAGAGTCCACGTTTTACACAATCTGATTGGTCAATTTAAATCAGGCGAAGTCTAAGCATAATTGGCTTTTTCACTTGGGTTTTAAAGCCATAACCTTGGAACACGTTATTTCTTTACAATAACCGCCAATTTAATGAAAAGCACTAAAGTGCAAACCCTCGGCGAACTGCGCATGCACGATACTGCTAATTGATGGGCTGGGCCATTAGTACGTGGTCTCCACACTAGTAGCTCGCGGAGAGTCTGACACGGGCTAGCTACAGTAGTAGATAGCATGCGGGAGTCAATACATGCCATTCGTTGTGACTTCTTGAGCCCCCAAGGTACACAGGGCGAGCAGATCAGGTCGCGGTAAGCCCAGTGCGATTATGCATATTGGCTTTTTCGCTTGTTTTCACGGCATATCTCTCGAACACGGTCATTTCAGGAAAATCGCCCTTTTATTCTTCAGGCTCACGTAGCTCTGAAGCCGTTGGTATCGCTAATGGGCCGCCTCGTAACCTGTAGTGCCAGAATAAGCGTCAACACACACACACAGACAGACAGACAGAACGACTACTGTAACACTCGCTGTGCATGCGCGCCGAGGGTTAAAAATGTAGCACTGAACCTGTTGGCATAGCATTATGGTAGTCCTAGTGGCAGAAAAGGAACACACACACAGACACACATACCAAGTACTGCAACCCTACCACGCCAAGGGTTAACAAGGTTCACATGCAGCTGAAGCTATGTTGCTAGGGAGGATGGACATTGTGTTAACAGTTCCAAGTGACTAGAGCAATTTCTTAGCCACCCTTACTCACCCTTTGCTCGCTTGAGATGATTTCCTGCTAATAATTGGTAGGGACAATGCATGATCTTATACCCTCATTCACGCAAAAAAAGTGTAAACAGTTGCTAAAGCCACATCAACTGGTAAAAACTGATATCCATCCTCCTCAGAAGAAGAAGGGGGTAGAACAAGGTCACGTGTAAACAGTTTGTGCTGAATCAGCACTCGTGAGTGCATGGGAATTCTCGATCACTAGTTGACGAAGTGAAGGAGGAACCTTAAAGACTTGGTGGAAACACAACCTGTTTTCTTGCTAATGGCCTCTGAATGGGTGTTGAGAGTATATTTCCAGAATATCTCAGCGATTAAAATGGTACATACAAACGAATTTCAAAGACATGTCAAACTACTCAAAAGTTAGAATTGATACAGAAGCTGTACGTGCTGAAGACCGGATAGCGCATTTATAAAGGTATGCACCAAGTCCATCAGGAAAATCTGTTATAAGAACTTTGTCATCATCTATACCATTCTACAAAGGTCTCTGGCTTTGAAGCTGATAGTCTGTTTGTTTTAATTGTTGGTAATGGAATTTTGCAGTGACGTGAACAGGCAGTGGACACCAGGATGAGCATCATTATCTTCCCTCTCTCAGAGCTTACATGATTACACCCAATACAGTACTTAGGAACATTGCCATGTATGGAATACATGTTTTCTCATGTAACAACGCAAGCTTGTCCCACCCCCACTCCCTCTGCATTAGAAGACGTCCGTCACACCTCTCAGCAAAAACTCGTGAACTTTTCCCCTAGTGTTGTGTCCAGACCCAGCCCTTAATAGGAAAAGAGTCTGGTGAGTCTAGTGGTTGTGCTTCTTCAGCAGTTTTAGTTGTCTGTAAGCCAATGAAATCACTGAACCTCACATAGAGCATGTTACCACATACACAACGACGCTCCATGCATGCTGCATATTTTCGAGCCTGTCTAAACAAACTTGTGTGTGCTTATGTAATGATGACGATTTCGCACAACCAGTAGAAGTTCAATTGTCACCCTTTTCCTGTGGTACGACAGTCAAAACTGTCAAAGCCATCCCAGCTCTAAATGGTAGTTGGGCAAAGAATATAACGGCACTTGGCCGGTTCTTCAAGACTAAGTATACGATGCAATTTTTTGTGTTACACTTCACTACTACAGGCATCACACTTGACCGTACAAAGGGCAGTGAGACCCACATCTATGTATATATGAAAGATTCTAGACGGCTTGACGCCAAACCAACAGAAGTATAACTGACCAGTTCACTAGAAACGAGCACACCAATCTCCTCCATTCCCCAGTAAAAACTTGGCAGTCAACACCACACACAGTATATAGGAGGTTTGCACACGTTTTCGTATTGTGATTGCATCACGTGCGCCTTTTTCTCGCCCGCGCCGCCCCCACGCGACGCGCGCAAACCCTTTGTCGCGCGCGCCTGGGCCGCGCGCGGGCTAGGGGGGGCACGCGTGTTACGAAGCGGACAAAAACGTTAATTTAGATAATTCCGGTATACGTGCTTAACGCCCACGCAATGAACCGCGCTCCGCTTTGCCTAAAACAGAAGCGTTTCATCGATCCCTGGACGCTACGCAAGTTTTAAAAAACGGTGCAGTTCAACGTTTCCCGTACGAATAACCTTACGTTTAACGGATTATAACAACTGCGCAATAATATCTTTTACCGAAACCTACCGCGCACGCGCTTTTCAGCTACACCCACAAACAGCTGCGTGGGTGTCGTAGTTTTGTCCGAGCTATTGCGAGCAAAAGGAAGTTTTTCGTCACCCACTACTCCACACTTGTGAAGCCATACCCATCAGCTGTCCATAGCAAGAGCCCCAGTTCTGGTGCGTTTTTTCCCCGTTAAAATATGGACCAATGATTATACATTATTATATAACAGTGAAGTATGGAAGAAACAGCGGAGAATCACACAGAGTTACTAGGAAAGCATTGTAGGGTGTGTGCAGGGAGGCTTCAGCAGGCAAAGAGCAGGTCCACCTCTTTCTTGTGCACCAGTCACAGAGAAGAACTGAGAAGTGCTTTTGGTATTGAGGTCGAGAGAGATGACATCAAACAGCACCCCACACATTTCTGTAATAGCTGTTACAGAAAAATGAAGAGAGTGTGCACACATAGAGCGTCATCAACACCATACGCACCGACTCTGGAATTATTCAAGTGGACACCCCACATGACGGAAGCATGCCCTGTGAGAAAATTAACCTTACTGCATATACAATTGCGCGATACATAATACACAGGTATGCGACCATTTCTGCAAGCTTGCACGTGGAGGTAGGGGGAGGAAATACGTGGCGAGAGGGAGACCAAGAGGATTGGTACATTTAAACCTGTGTGCAGAAGAAGGAAGTGGAACAGTTGGAAAAGATTGTGGAGAAGAAATTTCACATGAGGGAGGGACCTTTCTATTCAACATTGGAGAGGTCACTGGAAGAGCTAGGGGTAAAAAGGCAGGCTTACCAAGGGGGGACTTTTGTGGGAAACCATGTGCACAAGCTTCTAAAGGTAAATTGCCAATTGCCGCGTGTTTGTACGTCATGGCAGCACCCGCCGCCGCGCATCGATAACCGCGTCTACATGGTGCGTACACAGCCAAAATATAGACGGAAACGAAGTGTTCCCCCATCATTGTTACTGGGCCCGTGACGGCACCGAAAATACTCCAACGCGCGTCTTTCGAAATCACTGAATGTCTACCTGCTGTAAACAGAGATATTACAATTATTTCACATCCCACCCTCATGGTTCCGCAACAATTTCCACTTGCTGAAAAAAGCACTGTTACATATCTGTTACTGGAAACATTCTGGCAGGACAAAAACGAGAAACTGAGAAAGGAAGTAAGACAGTAATTCAAGTTTACAGAGATGTATAATATACCAGTGAGTACAGACCATGAAACAATCTAAATGTTCACAACAAGATTCCAAGAGGATGAAGTGGTAAAAATAGCTCTTTTTTTTCAAAACTGCCATGTCATTGGCTATGTTATTCTTAGGGATACCACTGGTGAAGATTGTTGTCCACAATGTAAAGCGGTAGGCATAGCTATTTTTTTATGCTTTATGCTCTCACACAGTGTTAGCTATGTAGCTGATAATGCTAGGCCTTTGGGACGTCATCCAGGCCTCTCTACCTATTGACCACCCGACACACCTCTACAACTTCCCCCGCCACATCACTCCAAACAACCTGAGACCTGACATCATGTGGTGGAGTGACTGCCAGAGGGAGCTGTGGCTCTTTGAGCTAACTATCAGCTACGAGTCTCACGTAGCTGATGCTCGAGAGCGGAAAAGGGTCAAATACCATGATCTGGTGGATGCTGGGAAGGCAGCGGGGTATAAAACAGAGCTGTTTAACAGCCGAGGTGGGGTCTCGGGGTCCGAGATCTCAAGCCACTGGGAACAGCCATCAGCAGCTCACTTCGAGATATCGTGACACTCTACCTCAGCATTATTCGGACTACTTGAGTCCTACAACAACTGGTGCGCCAGAAACTCATTCACACATGATGGTTTCCGCCGCTCCCCCCTTTCCCTCTCCATACTCTTCTTCAGAGCACCTAAACTATTGTGTTTGTGGTTGATTTTGTTTGTTTACGAGTCTAGGTGTCTTATGGCGCAACATGGTTGTCACATGTTCAGGCTTTCACCTAGTGACCTCACCCCTCTTTGTACCTCTTGTATTATGTACAATGAGAAGTTTCACCACCACACCACAGAGGACTTCTAAAGGGCTTCATACCTACATTAATAAAAGCTCAGACATTAACTCTACATGCGTGAGCTGGCACACAGTGGTAGGGTGAACAAATGAGAGTATCAATAACTGTGAATAAAAAATATAGACAAGTAAATAAATAAAAATTCTTCGAATTGTGTGGAATACAGGGATGCCATAAAAAGCAAGGAGACAAGACAGGGATGACCTAGTGTATGTGATGCAGTAGTAGAATGGATGATGGTTACATCTTCAAACTGACATTGCTTGCTCGTGTAAATTTTCCTCCACACAAGCCCTATATTATTGTCACGAAGCTCCCTCATAGAATGACTCATCTCTTAAGCACGTAATGCGCAGGTGTTGGCCTCTCTGACAGCTACTCAGTTTTTGGTTGTGACTGCATTGTGTGCAGTCTAAGATTTCAATGTTCACTCAACTAACGATGCGTTTTATACAATGCTGCGTTCGTTGCCCTCCAGAGAATCCTTTTACAATTGTCCTCACACTAAACAAATTCATGTAGTGAGTAAAAAAAGTGGCGACAATATAGGGCTTGTGTCCCTGTCTTGTCTCCTTGCTTTCCACACTTTCTATTTCTATTACGAAGAATTTTTATTTACTTGTCTCCTTTCCTTTTTTACGGCATGCACGATGCCCATATAAAAAGTAACATGTATTTATTGCCTCAGACTCTTCGTTGTCGTTGACATGTTCCTTTCACCACCAAAGTACATAAGTGTACAACATTTCATTGTTAGAAGATCCCAGCATAAGCAAGTTTCAGGAAAACAGCACTTACTTGCCTAGGCTGTTTGTTGTTGTTTACAATTGTACTTTATGTTTTGATGAACTCTTATCATGGTTAATTAATTTAATTAGAGGACCCACCATAAGCAAGTTATACGCTCAAACACAGTTTACAAGTTTTTATTGCCTGAGGCTGTTTGTTGTTGTTTATAAATTTAAACTTGTAATTTCTGTTTCGATTAACTCTCATCATGGTTACCAAATTTCATTATGAGAGGACCCACCATAAGCAAATTATAGGCACAAACGCAGTTTACAAGTTTTTATTGCCTGAGGCTGTTTGTTGTTGTTTACAAACTTGTAATTTCATTGAACTATCATCATGGTACATCAGTGTACCAAGTTTCATTGTTAGAGGACCCACAATAAGCAAGTTAGAGGCACAAACACCATTTACAAGTTTTTATTGCCTTAGGCTGTTTGTTGTTGTTTGCAAAGTTGCAATGTTTACATTTTGATACTAACGATGGGTTGCACATATGTGCAAAGTTATATCACTCTAGGTTTTTGCTTAACCTAGTTAGCACACTTTATTGGTCTCTATCATAATGTATGGCCTGGGGCTATTATTTGTTGTTTTGTTTTGTTTACGAAGAAATAAAAATACTCATGTACGACCTGTCATGGATTACAATCTCTGTGCAAAGTTTCATTTCCATATCTTTCCCGGTTTTTGAGATACGCTTGTATAAACTGAACAACAACAACAAGAAGAATTTTGAAAACTGACTTTCTTGAATAAATCAAGTACTGATTGTGCGATTTAAGCCATTTCTTGAATATATGCTCTTTGTGACAATACGGATCAGTCTAATGTGTCAAAAGTTGGATCTGATTGAAACTGAAAGTGGGACTTGAAAATCTCAAATGTATGGGCATAATGCAGGACAACCTGTGTCATCCCTATATACTAAGTACGATGATATAGAAGAAATATTATAAAGGTTATCAAATTATGTATAGATATAGCGAAAAATGAAAACTAAAAAAATAGTACCAAAATAGCACCTATAGACAGATTAGCACAACTCGCGTATACCAGGAAACCAAATGTAGGGCAGCATCACCAGAGAGCCAGCTAGCAAGGCAAGGTATAGTGGTTGCCCTGGCCTTGAGAACCAGGGGTGGAGGGTTAAAGGAGTCTTTTGCCACCGGTGAACTCTCCCCACTCACCCACGCCTTTCTCACGGTGAAACTGCCCACAGCAGCAATATATACAATCATTCTTTCATCCTTGTTCAATCATCCCCTTCACTGCCTTCTCCACTGCCATATGGATAATACGTACAAAGTTCGCTACACCAGTAGTCCTCTCTTTCGAGTCTTTTAGACGTAGCACTAACCCTATCATTAGATGCAATCTCTTCAATGGGCATAATGCTCATGTCGTCTACAGAATATCTGTCTGCACTGAAATGATGGTACAGATAAAGGTTGGTCAACTTCTTTAATGTATTCCTATGATTGTTAAACCTACTTCTTAATTTCTGACTAGTTTCACCAACATACTTAAACTTTTACATATAGCGCAGTCCATGGATAGACTAACAAATCAAATGATCTTTTCATATTTCATTGCTAATAAAAGGACTACCATGTCCGCTCAACTAGCTAACCAGTTTCACAGTGCTGCATTCTCTACAGAATCCCTTTGCCAGTCTTCACATTACATCATTCACTGAACAAACTCATGTCATGAGTAAAAGTGGCGAAAAAATATAGGGCTTGTGTGGAGGAAGATTTACACGAGCTAGCAATGTCAGTTTGAATATGTAACCATCATGCATTCTGCTACTGCATCATCCACTCCTTGCTTTTTATATATGGCATCCCTAGATTCCAAACCTTTTTAATTCGAAGAATTTTACTTGTCATTATATCATTCCCATGACATTTTAACTTCATTGCATGTTTCATAATTATTATAATCTTCAGGTGCAATTCCCATCTCTATATTTTCTAGCTACCTTCTTATACCATCTTTATTTTTACTCTAAAATCGTATAAACTTGTACCGATATACATACCTATAACAGTGTGTTATATGGAAGGATATCTGGACGATTTCAGATGCCACAATTACACATAATGTTACAGCAAAGCCTTTTTTTGCAGGCGAAGCTTTGCTGTAATATAGGGCGTGTGTGCAGAGCAAGTTATAATGCATGTGTGTATGTAGCCTCATCCACTAGTGACTAAAGTCTTGCTTGATGCCGTTTACTTGTTTATTATACCCTGGAGCTGCCAGCTCCTTGTTATGATATTCAGCGTCCGCCACGTCACCAGGGCGGATATCGTTTCGGAATTCAGCCGGATGCCGGCTGCGGAAGGATGTGGTCACACGTTTGTTGTTTTAATTGTTGAAACGGAAGTGAGCTTCCGTCACAAGTTCAAGGCTATAAAATCGTGTTGACGCTAAAAGTCCGCACAGACTAGTTCGGCAGCGCACGTCTATGTACATGATGTCTCTAAAGAAAGCCCGGCGTTACAGCTTTACGACGTTGAGCGAAGCTGAAAAAGACGCGAAGGGGAGCGTTGTGCAGGCTGCTGCTGCCAGTACTGCGAAGGGGAAAAACAGGAAGCGTCCGAGAACACCGACTGAGGAGCATAATTCGCCAACACGTCCGTTGAAAAAGAGAGCGGAGATGCTGTTCAAAAGTTAGTCAGGAAACATGAGGTGGTAGCTAAATTAATTAAACATCTTATTTTCAGCTGATCCGATGCTGTGGAACCCAAGTCAAGTGTGGCAATGGTTGGATTGGTTCACAGAGCAGGTTGGGTTCAACCCATTAAACAAGTTTAAATGGCAGGTATCAGGGATTCAGCTTTGTGCTCTATCAAAAGAAGATTTTCTGGAACGATGTCCACCTGGATTAGGAGAAGCTCTTCACTCACAATTATGCCTGCTGAAAGCCAAAGGTAACTACAGCATCAACAGTAGTTAATGATAATAATAATGATACCATGAGCTTAAAGTAGTGCACACTGTGATTGCGAGCATTTCCCTGATATATATATCCATCCTCTAATCATAGGATTAACATGTAGTAGCTAAGGGAATCTTTTAACCTCTGCCTCCAAATTCCATGCCTATGCTTCATTTCCTTTCTTACTGTTACTTTGGTATATACACAGCTGCCTGGAGCCACATTGCCCACATCTCACCAGCCGTAGAATTGCCTACACATATGTTTGGATCGTCACCATTTGTCTGGCCAAGCGCAGCAGGTTTGCCTATATATTATGTATAATTATTGTACCGAAAGTGATCAGGGTATCAATAAAATAGGTATCATTGTTATTATGAGTATGTGCTCTCATACAGATTTATTGAACAACACTGACGGAGGTTTTTGGCCACTTATGCAAAGTTTTTTTCCCAGATCATTCCAAACATCAGGTTTATATACAACTATTCATATCCAATTAACACTAGTTCAAGAATGATTAACTACAGGTCCAGTACAGAGGCTACTCGGATTCAATTCTCTATCACCCACCCCTTTGCCTTTGCCATTTTCAACTGTTCCAAGTTACTGTGCATCCACAAAGAATTTCACAGCAGGTATTTCTTATCACTGCATGCGGAAGAATAACGGAAGTACAGAATAAAGGAAGTACGTGTATCCTTTGTGGTTTGTATCTTCCTGTTTGCAATTCCCCCACTTCCTTTGTTCATGTTTCATTTCCTCCATTCATAACAAGCTGCATTCTACGTTCTACAGAGTCAAAGTTGGACTTTTCATCCTGTATAACCAATACTCAAGGGCAGTGTTTCACTCAGTCTCACCCCGGCATCCTTGGACAGACTACACCCAACTCCCCAAGTTCACCAGCCATTCGCCTGCAAAACACATCAGTACCACCTTATACAGTCTCACAGAGGCATTCCTCAGTTGCGGTTCCAACAGCTTCAGTTTCAAGCAAAACCACAGCCCCATCTCAAATTCCTACTTCACTGCAGCGCCTTGTTCGGGGAAATCTCTCCGCCACCTTACCATTGATATCCTCACCAATCCCACAGAGTAAGAGCATTTCTGAGATACAGCAACTAGAGAAAAGATGCATTCATTCCAACCGAAGACGTCCTCCAATTCCACTTTCAATAAAATCTACATCGCTCACTGCAACTCAATCAGATGAAGTTGTATCTACACCTGCAACACCACTCTCTCCATACTGTGGCCAACAAGGTATGTTTTGTTGCAGAACCCAAAATAGTTACCATTTATTTCCTTCTGTTTATATTCTTAGCCCTTAAAATTTCATGAACTTTCCCTTGTGCAGGAACTATTCAGCTGTGGCAATTTCTGCTGGAGCTGTTGCAGGATGACCAGTACTCAAACATCATAACTTGGGTAGGCGGAGATTGGGAATTCAAATTACTTGATCCCGAAAATGTTTCCATGTTATGGGGAATTCGTAAACGAAAACCAAGTATGAACTATGACAAACTCAGTCGTGCCATTCGTTACTACTACGATAAAAAGATCATCCATAAAGTCCATGGAAAACGCTACCAGTACAAGTTTAACTTTGAGACCATCTCCAAATTTTTGAGCTGTGTTGACCATTGCACTGAATCTGATGTTGGAGCATCCCCAGCAGAAAGTGACTGTGCTTTAGCCGAGGTTTCTAAAGAGAAAAACTGCACCAAAAGGAGAGATCACTTTTCTGCTAGTCCCAGTCCTTCTGTACATGATTTTGTTACTCAAGCCTTGGAGCAGCAGCTGATAGCCCAGCAGGCTAAAACTGCTGCAAATGAACAACAAAATTGTGCCTGTCCACAGCTATCTACTCATTGTGTAAATGTGCCAGTTGTTCACACACCATCACTTGAATAACTTCTGTCTTGTATTAAACAGTTATGTTTGTCAAAGAAATAGACAGAGGATTTGTAAACTTTCCTCTAGTACAGGCGGAGGCATTAATTAAGCTAGCCGAGGAACAACAAATAAACGCAGTTTCTCGTGGTAATTTACTTCAAACTGATTACTCCATTTACTGAATTCGTACAACCCAATCAGATGCCGTAAAAAAGGACAATCAAACTGACAATTTTTAAGCAGAGCTTGAGCCCTTTAGTGCAGTACTCTTTGTATCAAAAGTTCATGCTTGATGTATGCAGTATATACCCATTGTTTTGCATGCAGGTATTTTTGGTTTATTGTGCGCAGGGTTCAGGAAACACTTACATAGCAGCAATAATTATGGTTTTGCAGTGCTAAAGTTTGTTTTCTTCAGCAAAGATAAGAAAGGCCTAAAAACTCAATATCTGAAAAAGTACTTTATTGAGGGCTCTTTCCCCAGAGCAGGTCAATGTGTCACTATGTCTAGAAAACTGTGAATACAGGGGTGGTGTAAAAGCAAAAAGACAAGACAGGATGACCTAGTGTAGTGGCTACATACATTGCGTGCTTGTGAAAAATTTCCTCCACACAACGCCTACATTGTCGCGCAGCATGAGTTTGGTACCTCGTATAATGTGCAGCTATTGCTCACTTCCTAAGCAAATGAAAGTGCAAACCCTAGGCGAACTGCGCATGCGCTGCACCGCAAATGGATGGGCTGGGCCGGCTATTGGTCGCTAGTAGCGAGACACAGGCCCGTAGCAGGCTCTTTAGAAGTATAATTATAGTCAGGCCAGGAAGTAGGTGTGGTTAATACGGTGCAGTGTGCGCATGCACAGCGCTAAGCGGCCGGCCGGCCACCCCGCCCGATGGCGTTCGCGTGTACGTAGTGTTCGCTGGATCGACGACGGTATGGAGCATAGCCACAGTGTACGGTACTTCTCTTTCTCATCTCTCACTAGGTCACTCAATCGGCTAACCTCAACTGTGAGTTGATCCTGCAGGCGCTGGCGAGTCTCCTGTACCTGCTCAAGCTCTGTGCATCGCAGCACTGCCAGATAGCAAGCGCGCTTTCACTAAGCTAAGGTTGCTGCATGCAGACTGCCGCTCTAAAAATGACCACGCCCTCAAATTCGAGCCAGAAGTGGTCCGGCCAAAACTGGACCGGCCGGACCGCTTGCTACGGCCATGGGAGAGTCTGACACTGGCTAGCTACAGTAGTAGATAGCATGCGGGAGTAGATACACACCCTTCGCTGTGGCTTCTTGTGCCTCCAAGGTACACAGAGCAAGCGGATCAGGTACCGCTTATTGACGGGTACCGGGTTGGGCCACGCAATGCTGTCCGTGACTGTGTCAGTTCGTCGCTCTCTAACGCAGTCGTTTCAGCAAAATCGCCATTTTAGTTTTCTAGCCCATGTATATACCGCTAAAGCTGTTGGTATCGCTCATAAGCCGCCTCGTAGCCTGTAGTGCGAGAATAGTCGTCGACACACTTGAACGACTACCGCCCCTCGCTGCGCATGCGCGCCGAGGGTTTTAATGAGACTAGACAGGAGTAAGAGTTGTGACTAGCCCTCTCCCTTTGCTAGTCCTCACACTACACCATTCACTAAGCAAACTCATCTCATGAGTAAGAGTGGTGACAATATAGGGGTTGTGTGAAGGAAGAACATGCAATGTAAGTTAGCCATTATCCATTGTACTACTCCATCACATACACTAGTTCATCCCTGTCTCGTCTCCTTGCTTTTTGTACTTCTCAATTCATTTGAATTTACTTGTCTCCTTTCCCTTTGGGGCAAAAAACATGTAACATGACCTTATGTGTTTTTGTTGTTGTTTCACTATTCAGTACATACATAGTAAGTCTCATTGTTGAAGACCTGGCATAAGTAAGTTATGTATAGGAACAAACACCATTTATGGGTTTTTTACCTGAGCCTGTTGCTGTTGTTTAATATCTTGTATTTAAACTCTTGTCATTGTTCATGAATGCACCAAGTTTAATTGATAGAGGACCCATCATAAGCAAGTTATAGGCAGAAATAGGGCTAGGGCCTAGGGCCTCGATACTTAGATTTTAGTGCCTGAGGTTGTTTGACAAACCTGTAATTTTTGATTTGTTAGCTTTTATCATGGTATCAGTATACTAAGTTTCATCTTTAAAGGACCCACCCACTCTAAGCAAGTTATAGGCACAAAACACCATTTTACAGGTTTTTATTGCCTGAGGCTGTTTGTTGGAGTTTACACCCTTGTCTTAATGAAGTCTTATGGTATATAGCTACATCAGTGTACCAAGTTTCATTGTGACCAACATAAGCAAGTTATAGGAACAAACATCATTTACAAGTCTTTATTGCCTGGGGCTGCTTGCTTTTTTAAAATTCATTTTGATGCTAATGTTGGGTTGCATATGTGTCATAGTTAGCACACTTTATTTGTCTATATCATAATGTATGGCTTGGAGCTTTTTGACATGGATGGGGGCGCGGAACTAGTGGCTCAACGGGCGAAGACCACAAGTAGACAGGGCCACGAGAGCCTCTTGGCTCAGCAGCGGACGACTGGGCTGACTCGGAGTCAGTCAGATCACTGCCTGAGATTTGGAACCCATGCTCCGTGGACGGCTGCTGCTGATGAAGTCCATAGACCGTCTCGCAGGTTGAACTCTATTTTCCACACTCGTCCTCCAAAGTGGCTACTGGCAGTTACCAGTTAATAAAATTGGACTGGAAGCTATCCTTGAGCAGGACTCACGAGTACAACTTTGTTATCTGTTACAAAAAGGGAATGACAACAGACACGCAGATGCCCTATCACAGTGCCCATGTGCAACTACCGTCGTCTCACAACAGAAAATTGGGGCAGACATTGGGCCTGCACATCAAGCAGACAAAACCATTTCCACCCTACTAGTGGTCTTACGGAAGAATAATAAACGCCCAAGCGGCAGGTTGTGGAACAAGTATCCCTTGAAGCGTTACATTCAGCTATGGAACCAACTCCAGAGTTCAAAATAGTGTCGTGTGCCAAAAGTATGTACCTGGGCCCTTGCAAAAGGAAGTTCTTACCACCATGGTTACGCCAGGTAGTCCTCCGTCAGTGCACGACCTCCCTACAGCAGTCTACCAGGGAATCGAAAAGACCCTGGAACAGCTCGGAAGAGAAGCGTACTGGGTCGGAATCACAGCTGATACAGATCTACTCAAATTCTGTTGAAACTGTCAGACATGTCAAGCCTCCAAACTTGCTACTCCCCCTAAGGCTCCACTGACAAACACCCCAATCGGAAGACCGTGGCAGATGATACTGGAGGTACATACCTGTCTCGAGCAACAATAATCGTTACATTCTAGTTGTACAAGACTACTTCACAAAGTGGGTCGAAGCCATAACACTGCCAGACCAGACAGCAGCTCACATCACAAAAGAACTTGTGAAACCTTTCTCTACATTTGGATGCCCAGATATCTGATCAAGGACGAAACTTTGAAAGCACAATTCTATGGAGCACACTGAAAGAGATTGGCATCTTGAAATCTCAAACAACTGCATACCAACCCCAAGGAGGTTGAATGGTTGAGCAGTTCAACAGATCGCTTCTGCAGCGGCTACGAAGCTATGTTGCACATCAAAGTGATTTCTACCCCTGGTCCTGTTCACTTACCGAATGGCAACTCACCAGTTCAACTGGCATTCACGCTGATGCTTGGACGGTCTCCATCCTCACCGATCTTCCCACCCTCCACTGCGTGCAACACAGCAACCTACACAGACAGCTTGCAGTGCAAACTTTCAGAGTTACGAGATCTTGTTGAGTGCCACCTAACAACTGCAGCTGAACACCAAAATCTAACTATGCTGGAAAACCCTTTACCCGGAGGTTTCGTGTGGGAGACACTGTCTGGTTGTCTCGACCAACAGCCGGTAAGCTAGACCCATACTGGGAAGGAGGGTGGAAGATGACGAGCCCACTGACAGTGTAAATCACAGATGGTCAAAAAGTCGTGTCAACATAAATCAGCTCCATCACCGGCTCTGGCATCTCCAGTACCCGAATATACTCCACTCCGTCTCCAACCTAGCTGCCCCCTACAGTGGATCACCTAGTTTTACCACTTGCACCTCGAAGGTACCCCTTCCACCACAGAGTGCCTCCAGATCGTTATGGATACCAAGACTCCTAAAGAAAAGGAGGGGCGAGTGTAGCAGGGCATTAACGGTTGGATCATTCACACCCAATGAAAGTCAGTTGTCCATGCTATGTTTCTGTTGTATAACCACTAGCTCTCACCCATCATCCATTTAGGTTAGTTGCCCAAATATAATACTTTTCTGAGCCAAGGAACTACTGTTAAAAACACGCATGTGTAGTGTTGTGCAGAGTTTGCTAGAAGTATTCAGTGGTTACCAGTAAAAAGAATGATTGTCAAACTCTCAAACGTGGCAAACGGAAGCGCCAGCCGCCAACTAGCGAGAGATTGTATGGGCTATTGTTCTTGGAATACATTTACATTATAAGGGCACTTCACTTGTGTTCTAAACAAACAGGTGGTGACAATATAGGGCTTATGTGGAGGAAATTTTACACAAGCAAGTGATGTCAGTTCAAAGTACTACTTCATCACATTCACTAGGTCATCCCTGTCTTGTCCCCTTGCTTTTTATGGCATCCCCTATATTCCACACTTTATTATAATAATTTTGTTTACTTGTCTCCTTTCTTTTTACATTCACATGCATGGTGTGCAATGGGATATTTTCCCATAAAATAAAGTAACATTAGTGGCCTTAAGCTATTGCCTCACAGGTTTTGTGGTCATTCACATTACATCACCAAGTTTCATTGTGAGAGGACCCATCATAAGCAAGTTATAGGCACTGACCTTTTTTGCCTGAGGCTGTTTGTTGTTTTTACGACCTTGTATAAAAATTATCAACCCCACCCATTTTAACCGTTTTCCCCTTCTCCAGATGTTTTACTAACCACACTCAGCAGAGTGATGTCAATTCCCAGGATGTCCCTTCTTACACAGACTATGACGCCCTCCCGTGGTGGCACAAACTCCTCACACCATATTACTGTAAACAACTGTTGAAGCAACTCTACTATCCCTGACCCACCATACGTTAGAAGCTCCCCCACAAGCCCATTACTACCACCAGTCTTGGTATAATGGCAGCCTTCTCTTAGCTTCGCGCTCGGATTGAGAAGGGGCGTGTGGCGCGCGCCGCGAGGCGGCCCGGCCCGGCCCGCGCGCGCCCGCCCGGCCCGCGCCCGCCGGCGCCCGGCGCCCATGCTATCACCCGGCCATCCCCGGCCCGCCCCATGCATGTGTATCACACTGTCTGATCTGCTGGCCGGGCATGCGCGTGCTAGCTCCAGCGCAGCTGCTTCGTTTCTGCAGAAGCGATTTAGCGGCTGCACGGTAGCTAGCTGTGCGATACAGCGTGTCCCCTGCCCCTGGTCGGTGGCCGAAGCTGTTTGCATTATATCTGCGGATTAGCGACTATGAAACTACGGGGAAGGCATCCAGAAAAGAATGTTGAAGAGCTAAAAGAAGAAATATGTATGGTATGTAAAAACTGTTGTGCTATATACCTCATACAATATTATCCAAGGGCGGCTGAGTGTCAGGGTTCATAGCTACAATTTTGTAGTGCTGTCCAAGGCAAGTAGCTAGCTATGTAATAGCGATGTGGAGTTAGATCATTTGGACGCAGAGGACTGTGGTTACTGGAAGTTAGGTATGTATATCCGCTACGGATCAACTATAATATTCGCCACCTCCACGCAACGGTTACGCAACTGTTGCGCAACCATTACCGAACTGCTACGCATCCAATACGCATGCGTCAATATTACGCGCTTCTTTAATACTGTGCGGAATGATCCGCGGAGGATAGTGTTCTTCGTCGAAGAAAAACAGACAGAGAATCGTGTCTTCGGCTCGAATTTTCTATCTATGTATGCCCGGCCGTCGAAAGTCCTCGCGACAGAGAGGCTCGTCTTTTTCAGGGATGATTACGAGATCAAGAGGCAACGATACTGCTTCTGGTCCAAGAGGTAGACAGACAGAACGCCCGGCCGTCGAAGGTCCTCACGACAGAGAGGCTTGTCTTTTCAGTGACGATTAAGAGATGGAGAGGGGGAGCTGGCACATTACCTTTCTGTTGCTACTTTCTTCTGGTCTAGTTTCACTAGCTCCGTATGCGCAAGCTGCCTTACTCAACCTGATATGACAACACCATAATAACTTCTGTTACTTGCTGAAACATTTTACCTGTAGGTACGTAGCTAGTAATGATGATGGTTGTATATACGTACTTTTGAGTTCTCGCTCCGCTCGCCCAAAGAATGCCAAGCATTTCCACTAGTAAATACAATTAACTGCTACGGTCTTACCTACTGGATAGAAACCTTCTGAGAGCCTTGATACCTTCCTCGGTGGTCAACCCTTATCCGAAGATGGGTTGGTATCGGGCAGGGGGTTGCACGTGTGTTTTCTTTTGGCCTTGGCAACTTAGCACCCGTGTGTGTCTAAACGTGAGCCCACAATGGGCTCTTTGCCCCTCTAATATGCAACCGATTGATATTTTAAGCACTGGCATGGGACAACCAGCCTGTCAAACAACCAGCCTGTCAAGGGCTGGCTTCCTACGTCACACGACGCACCCCTGCTCGAAGGCCACATCCGAGGATGGGCAGTGAGACAAACAAAACGAGAAACAAAAGCAAACAAATCCTTACCGCAAACGGGAGCGGAGGGCACAAGTTGCCGGCAGCCTTCAGCCTTGACGTGATGCCGACTGTCTCCTTGCCTGCACTTTTAATCTACCCGCCCGTGGTGCATTCCCCATCAACCTTGCACTGCCTGTGCTATTTTTGTGCCCCAAATTAGGCCTTGCTCGGTAGGTCTGTCGCCATGTCGCCGGCCTGAAGCCATGCCTGGTCCTCTTGCCGTTGCTATGCAGGCCCTGTGCACTAGCCCGTTGACAAGTATGTACGTCTGCACATGTGCCCGGCTTTCCGTGCAGTTAACCTCGTCTAATGGACATTAAACTCCCTTGGAGGGCACATATTGAGTCTCACAATACCTAGATTGCCTCTACTAGTCTAAAATAACTAACCCATGTCAAACTCTCATAAAACTAGTGAGACGCCACGATACTGTATACAAGTAAATTTAAAATGAAAGAGGCATTGTATAGGGATGGTATAAAAAGAAAGGGAGACGAGATAGGGATGGGATACATGAAGCATGGTTAATGAACAGATTTGAGCACACTGACACCCCCAACCCCATCACACAACCCCTATATTGTTGCCTTGGTGTGCTACTCTTATAGGGAATGTGGCATTTATATAAGGGCTGAAGGTTACTAAAAGCAAGCATTCTTTCACCGTGTCCCTGTTGTTTTTAGTCTTTTATATATTGCCACATCCCCTTTAATTAAACTCCACTTGGACTCTGTAACGGTGTTGGTTACTCAGTAGCATGATGTATTATATGTTGAGAGTATTGTAATGGTGAATGTTTAATACTTCACCTAGGCAACAATATAGGGATTGTGTGATGGGCTTGGGGGTGTCAGCGTGCTAAAATCGCAGGATTTGTTTATTTACTTGTCTCCACTCATTTTTTTAATACTACTACGATCTCTGTGAAAGGGGGCAAGCACTCTATAAAAAAAATTAATAGTAGAGAAAAATGCCTGTTGTCGTCATTGAAATGATGTAATACGCATGCATATCAAGTTTCATCTCCATGTGTGCTGCCGTTAGCAACTTTGAGGAGTGAAGAAGTAAATGCCTGAGGCTAATTGTAGTTGTTCAAATACTATGTGGTTGTCATGGAAACGATGTCATTGAAATGATATAATACACATGTGTACTGAGTTTCATCTCCATGCGTGCTACCTTTAGCGAGTTTGAGAAGTGAAGAAGTATAATTTTTTTATGAAAATCGTCCAAGGCTTTTTGTTGTTCTTCAAACAAAGTGGTTGTCATGAAAATGATGTTACACGCATGCGTACCAAGTTTCATCTCCACGCGTGGTACCGTTAGCAAGTTTGAGGAGTGAACAAGTAATTTTAAAGAAAATTGGCTGATGCTATTTGTTGTTGTGGTCGTCATGGTAACGATGTAATACACATGTGCACCAAGTTTTACCTCCTGTATGCTACAGTTAGCAAGTTCGAACTCCATTGTACTACTACATGACATGCACTAGGTCATCCCTGTCTTGTGTCCTTGCTTTTTGTGGCATCCCTATATTCCACACTTTTAATTAGAATTTACTTGTACTGAGTACTACCATACTTAGTGATATTCTTGTTGTTGCTGCATTACTAGACAAATGCAATGCATTGTTGGAGAGAGCGCGAGCAGTTCAATATTTTGCACCTGTTTTGCATGAATTTAGAATCACGTTGAAAATGACGGTATAACAAGTAAATTAAAAATCCTGCGAATTTAAAAATGAGGCATATAGGAATGGTATAAAAAGAAAGGGAGACAAGATAGGGATGGGCTACATGAAGCATGGTTAATGAACAGATTTGAGTACGCTGACACCCCCAACCCCATCACATAATCCCTATATTGTTGCCTGGTGTGCTACTCTTATAGGGGCTAAAGGTTACTAAAAGCAAGCATTCTTTCACCGTGTCACTGTTGTATTTATACTGCCATATTCCCTTTTAAACTCCACTTGGACTCTATAAGGTATTAGTTACTCAGTAGCGTATTGTAAGTTCTGAGTATTGTAATGGTGAATTTTTAATACTTCACCTAGGCAACAATATAGGGATTGTGTGATGGGGTTGGGGGTGTCAGCGTACTCAAATCTGTTCATTAACCATGCTTCATGTAGCCATCCCTATCTTGTCTCCCTTTCTTTTTATACCATCCCTATATGCCTCATTTTTTAAATTCGCAGGATTTTTAATTTTCTTGTCTCCACTCATTTTTATGTACTACTACGTATTATCTCTGCGGAACGGGGCAAGCCCCTATAAATATAAATAATAAATTGTTGTGGTCGTCATAGAAACGATATAATACACACGATGTAATACACATGCGCACCAAGTTTCACCTCCTTGCATGCTACAGTTAGCAAGTTTGAGGAGTGCAAGAAGTAATTTTAAAGAAAAGTGCCTGAGGCTATTTGTTGTTGTGGTCGTCATGGAAATGATGTTACATGCATGCGTACCAAGTTTCATCTCCATCTGTGGTACCGTTAGCGAGTTTGAGGAGTGAAGAAGTAATTTTAAGGAAAAGTGCCTTAGGCTATTTGTTGTTGTGGTCGTCATAGAAACAACGATATAATACACATGCGCACCAAGTTTCACCTCCATGCATGCTACAGTTAGCAAGTTTGAGAAGTGAAGAAGTAATTTTAAAGAAAGGTGCCTTAGGCTATTTGTTGTTGTAGTTGTCATGGAAACGATGCAATACACATGCGCACCAAGTTTCACCTCCATGCGTGGTACATGCTACAATTAGCAAGTTTGAGGAGTGAAGAAGTGGTTTTAAAGAAAATTGCCTGAGGCTTTTTTTTAACAAAATGCGGTCGTCGTGGAAACATGTAATTGTCATGGGAATGATATGTGACCGTGCACGCAAAAACCAACCTTACGCCTCAATGTTAAGTTTTCGAGTACGCGTGAATATAACGCCTACACCAACCGGTATAAGCAAAACCACTTTTTTGCCTATAAGTAAAGCTTCCCATCAGAGCTACCTACTGGTACCTTTCCTGCCTCCTAGGACGCCTTCTCGCCAGAAAAGAAGCTATTTCTCTGTAGCGGTAGTCAGTGAACGGAGCAGCGGACACGGACGCTCACGGCGGGGGTGTACGGAAATCTTGTACACACCCTTTTTCCCCGCGAAACTAGGCAACAAAGATGCAGCGACTACCAGTCACTTTCCTTTACTCCGCACACGGGCACAAAGGTTCCTGAAGAACTTGGAGTGGTTGCTGAGTAGATCATCTAAGCTGCCGCCTTTAAAAATACGACAGCCTAGTGTGCACGGCTCAAGAAAGACGGGAGCCGGCAGCTGGCTAAGCTGGCCTGTTAACTGTCTAGTTTAGAATCTAGAACCAGCATCCATAGCACACACGGGCCGGAGTTTTCACGGTAAACACGATCGAACGACCTGTCTAACATGAGTGACAGCACGACGGTACATGCAGCTGACGCAAAGAAAGTCAAAGCGATACCTCACTTACACCAAGATCTGCCACGACAGGTTCGGCCTGAAGTCTATTCAGCCCGGTAGGGCCGATAGAAGCGTTCGTCTGCTGTCAAACTGCTCGCTTACACCGCATCTCTCTGGTTGCTAAAAAGTTCCCGGGAAAAATCCCGTAACGTGACGTCATATTCGTGGGCGGACAAGAATACGGAAAAATTTCATTCCACTATTTCGCGTTTTGTATAACCCCGCGTGGCCCGCGTTTGAAAAATCGTAACTTTTGAAGGGTTCAAAAATAAGCGGTGTATTCAAGCACATTTCAAGCTTTACAACGATACAAAAAACGCTACTTCACAAAAATGCGGCGTAAGGTTGGTTTTTGCGTGCACGGTCACATATAATAGGCATACATACCAAGTTTCATCTCTATGCGTGCTACCATTGGAGAGTTTGAGGAGTGAAGAAGTAAATTTAAAGAAAAGTGCCTGAGGCTATTTGTTGTTGTTTACAAACATGTATTGTTGTGATTTTGATGTTGGTAATTGAATATACATTATGTGTGCAAAGTTTCGTTCGCATAGCTCTTACCATTTGTGAGTTATACTGACACATGTGATCCCATTGTAATGTATTGCCTGGGGCTATTTGTTGTTGTTTACACAGAAATAAGTATGACCAGTCTCTTCGGATGACGGATATCTACATTCTTACAAAATTACTTTATGTTGTTTCGTTTTTGAGTTATGTTGGTTGAATCTGAAAAAGAAGATGAACAAAACTCCCTATCATAGCCCCATACATCTATGATGCTAGGTACCATGTCAATCCCTATATACTAAGTACTGCCGTACTTAGTGATTATGCGGTGCCCGACAGAGACGTAGCATAAATGTTATGACATATTATTTAGAACATTCCCATATTGAAACGAGGCTCGATTTACTTGCCAATTTTATGCATGCATGTATTCTTTGCCCTTTTTTTAGGATGATCACACGATCCCCATGGAAGAGTTGCTCTGTCGACTTGAAACAAGTTTAGATAAGGTATGCTTAGCCAATCAAGATGAGCAGACATACGCGGCGAGGGGTGAGCCAAAGGTGGGGTTCCCAGTAGAAGGCCCACTTTGTCTCGTTTTCCTCTTCAGCACAATAGCGTTAACATACGGTTTCTTCTTGTTCCCTTGCTCTCCTGTCAATTGTTTTGTTCTCTGTGCATGGTCAGTAACCAGGGTCAAATTGTAAATACATTGAAAGCGATGTCTAATTTTTAACAACGAAACTATATGTTGGAAGACCAAGAATAAACGTAACATATTTCTAGCAATGTTTTTTTAACCAGGGGTTTACCAGAGGATTCCATGCAATCAAATGGCACAAGTTTCTGCGTATTTGCTGCAGTTCTTTAGAACGGTTGGAATACATAGTACAGAACACAATGTTTTCATAACTGCCATAAGAACAGTTTGAAGCAAAAAACGTAGTACCACACCTGTGTGTGCGCGTCTGATATTGCAATAGAACCACAAATTTAAGACAACAGCTTGGAGTAACATGTTTCTAGCAACAGGCAAGAAATTCTTCCACAGTGCCAACAGACTCGGAATGTGCACAAACTTACGTGAACCATGATCTGTATCCACAGGAAACAGGACAGGACAGGACAGGATTGACCTACTGCATCATCCCTGTCTTGTGTCCTTGCTTTATATGACATCCCTTAATTCGAGATTTTTTTTCATATTCTCCTTTCCTTATTTACTGCATTCACATGCAAGGTGTGCAATTATTTTGGGGCATAATACCCAGAAAAAGTAGTATTAGTGTGGCCTATGTATTGCCTCAGAATGTTTGTCATCATTCATGTTGCTTTTACCATTAGTATAGAAGTGTACCAAGTTTCATTGTAATGCCATAAGCAAGTTATAGGCACAAACACCATTTACAAGTTTTTATTGCTGGAGGCTTTGCACAAACCCGTAATTTTTGTTTTGTGTACTGATTTACTCTTATTGTAGTAAATCAGTACACAAAGTTTCATTGTTAGATGACCCACTATAAGGACCCAGCATAAACAATTTATGGGCACAAACAGGTTTTTAGCCTAAAGCTCGTTGTTGTTTACTAATGTGTGGGCATAATCCTGGATAACCTGTTATATACTAAGTACTTCGTGATTACATTGTCTAAGTGCTGTGCTGGCCTGTTTCTAAACACGTGGTTAGTCAACATTTCAATAATGCTTCAGTACACGTAATATTTCTTACAGTCTGATTCTAATGATTACACTCCCCAGTTTCTTAAAGACGGCGGTTTCCATGAGTATCTTAGCTATGTTATGATAAGGTTGTTGCATTGCCCTGTGGCGCCTTGGGATAATTCACATGGCATGGCGCAACAGGGCAACGCGTCGTATTGTGAACCTACCCTAATACTCATAACACTTGCTCTTCGCTGTTCGCACAGGAAATTTCCAATAACATCGCTGTGAATGGCGACCTAGACGGCAGGCTTGCGTCTTCCTAGGGAGATAGCTATGGTCTGTCGCTCTTCCAACTACCTCTACGAGGGTGTAGTAGTCCATGGGCGCAGTAGTAAGAAAAAACGGTGCTCATGCGCAGTGGGAAACATTTTGGCTTGTCCCCCAAAAAATAGGTTGTCCGTACAGGTCACATTATTTCCTGAACTAAAAACTTGACTTGGTCTTTTTTAGGGATTATCTCAGAATGTTGCAGTTGAACGACTGAATCGGGATGGTATTAATGCACTGACTCCACCCATGGAAACTCCTGAGATTATCAAGTTCTTGAAGCAACTTTTTGGAGGCTTTTCATTACTGTTGTGGTTTGGCTCAGTGCTTTGTTTTTTTGCCTACACTCTGGAAGAAGTAACTTCATCGGCCCCAAAAGACTATGTATGTTTAGCTTGTGTCATGATATACATGTGTGTGTGCCTGTCTTATGCATGCGTGGTGAGGGTTATGGTACCTGGTTAGTAAGTGTCTCTGTCATTCTCTCTGTCTGTCTGTTATCACGTTGTCTGCACAAGAAATCTGCCAAAGAGCAATGGTAACACAGTGGCTTGTTTAAAAAGGTGATTTTCATAAAAGTATATACTGTTTTCTAAAGTTATGGCATTAAAACCAAGTGAACAAGCCAATATCAGGGGTTCATTTAGGGGGGGGGGGGTCAGAGGGGGGCGCTCGCACTCCCTTGATCAAATCTCGCCCCCCTTGGAGTTAAAGTAAACCTTTCAATATGCAAAACAGGCCTGACTGGCGTGCAACTGCAGCAAAGAAACACTAAGTACCATACGCTAAAGTCGCTATGCCACCTAAATCAATCGTAGATGGTTTACAGGAGCTTCTAAAGTAAGATGTAACGCCCATATTGACATAGACTCACATAATATCATACTTCACAGCTGGGCCGCTGGCAACTATTTTTAATCCAAGTAATATCATTAACAAAACTGTAAACTACACACTTTGATTGTGCAAGACTTATATACCTAGGCAGACAGCTGTGTAAGTTTCCAGTGTTCTATCGCCACACAGTAATTTTTAGTTTTTACAGTTATTTATGCTGGAAAAACACTTCTCTAGTCACTAGAAATACCCTGAGATTACACCAGAACCAATCTAGCTCAGAGCGTCTGAAAAACAAAAATATTTCCTGGGGGAGTATGTCCCCAGACCCCCCTTGGATACAGCTCTTACCCCCCCCTTGATCGTTTTCTAAATGAACCCTGAATATGCATATTACCACTGCATTATTTTTATCTTCACCGCACTCTGCCACTTTTCACCATGGAGGCATCAGAAGCTACTACGGAGGCCAATTCTCGAGTCATGTAATGCCTAAAATGCTATCGACTATGTGTCAGTCTCTCAGAGAGTTAGCTAAAGACCACGACACGTGTACAGCGACAGCGTAGACCCCACTAGCCCATCAATTAGCGGTACTGACTCAAGCATGCGTATGTGTGCAATGGACATGCACAGATGTCTAGCGTGCTTAGGGTTTGCACTTGTGCTTTTCTTGATTGGTGGGTACATGCTGCTCTCTCTGCTGACCTGTAGGACGTGATCACATGTTATAGCAATAATGGTAGGGGAATTATTTTATGTGCTAGCTAAGTCTATAGTATGGGAATTGCCTTACATAAAGGTAGAGTGTTTTAAGGACCTGTGTCAGACTCTCCACGATCTACTTAGTGGGAGAGACCACTAGTAAACGCATACTAATAACCCTGCCCATCAATTAGCAGTATAGTGCATGTGCAGTTCGCTAAGGGTTTGCACTTCCATTTAATACATACTCCTATTGACATGCACTTGTTATGCCACACTCTTACTTTTATACAGCTCTATCTTGGAATTGTGCTGGCTGTTGTGGTGTGTGTAACAGGCCTTTTTTCATATTACCAGGTGAGGATTTCAGACTGTTCTGTTGTGTATAGGTATCGTATCCTTAAAAGCATTATCAGTAACATTTAATTTTAATGTACCTTCTGATTCAGAAAATTAATGGTGAATGTAGGGATGGCAAGGAGATAAGGCAGGGATGACCTAGAGTACAGTGATGCAATAGTGCAATGGATAATGGCTCCATACTCAAATTCATGTTGCGTGCTTGTTAAATTTTTCCTTCACACAAGCCCTATAATAAATTGTCGCACAGCATGAGTTTGGTGTTTCGTATATGTGCAGCTCTTGCTCACTTCCTAAGTAGATACTCCACAGGTGTTGCCCTCTCTGACAGCTCCTCAGTTTTGACTGCATAGTCTAGTTTTAATGCTGCATCTTAGCCTTCTACAGAATCCCATTGCCAGTCCTCACACTACTGTCATCCACTAAATAAACTCATGCATGAGTAAGAGTGGCAACAATATAGGAGTTGTGTGGAGTAAAAATTTCACGAGCACGCAATGTGAGTTTGAATACGGACCCATTATCCATTGTCGTACAGCCAAAGTAGCTTTCAGCGCTCCGTATTCCTGCACGAGGTGACGACTTTACTTTCTTCTCACATCTTTAATTTTGTATGTGCTTTTAAACATGGCAGTGTGCGTATACGGAGCTGTTTTTCTCTGCACTGAACATGTTTTATGCTCCGTATACTCAGATACAAGATATAGTGAAGGAATACATTAAGCATGGTTTACAAACTGATTTGAGTGTGCTGTCACCCTTGACCCAATGACACAATCCCTATTGATGTTTTTCATAGTACAGGTCACAATGTTGTATATGCTATTACTAACAGAGTGGAAAAGTGTCGTTCTACTGAGTGCTTTATTTATCTCATCGCTATCTTGTCTCCCTTCCTTTTTATACCATCCTTTACTTGTTATACTATCTTCTACTGTAATGGTGAGGGGTAGTCTGTCACACCTCCTTCTCACTCATTCTACCTGGCACACCCTGCTGTTTCCCAGACACCATCACTGCTTAACGCTTGGATTATCATTATATAACCAAATCATTGTTAGCTTCAAGGAGGACAAGCAAAGAGCTAATTTATTTTCCTACAGCTTACACCTTTTGAATAGTTTTTTCGTTAGTTTTCCCCATTGCTCTGGGTGTCTTGTCTATATATGGCCTATGGCTGCCTCCTACTGTGGTATTATTAACTGGTTTTTGGCACCTCATGGACGTGTCAGCTAAATCAAATTATGTCATACTGATGTACATGATCCAGCAAAGCCAACTGCTGCTTGTAGTGTATGGCCAGTCTGCTTATATTCCCTTCTGGAAAAAATACGTAACTGATTAGCAGCAGCCACTGCATGTGTACTGGACGTAAGAATGACAGTGGGTCATTTTATGTACGGAGTTGGATGTTTTTTTATGTCATATATACTCTTTGACTATATCTGCTGATCTCTTTCAGGAAGCAAAAAGTGCTCGAATCATGAAAAGCTTTTCAAAGATGGTACCACAGGTATGTAAATCATGCACTTTAATACCTGTGCCACGCCAAGTCCAACACAATTTACTCCCAGCCAACCACATGCTTAAAAAGCAAATCATGCCTTGATGTATTCTTCTGTAACATTAGGAGACTATGGTTCTTCGAGATGGAAAACATTTGAATATGGAAGTGGAAAATCTAGTTGTTGGGGATGTAGTGAATGTAAAGTGTGGAGATCGTATTCCGGCAGACATCAGAATAATTAACTCAGCTGGATTCAAGGTATGTAATCTTCAAGAAACTGCTAAGTACCTACAGATTAACCCTGCGAAATTTAAAAAAAGAGCCATATAAGGATGGTATAAAAAGAAGGGGAGACAAGATAGGGATGGGATACATGAAGCGTGGTTAACGAACAAATTTGAACACACTGAAACCACTGACCCCATCACACAATCCCTACCTTGTTGCCTGGGTAACATTCACCATTACAATAGTCAGGACATAAAGTTTTAAAATACACCCGTTTTAGTGCATAGCTGGTTTAAATCGAGCAATCTGATTGGTCCACACGAGGTACTTGATTTCCCGTAGTATACCTGGGACGCTCCGTAGTAAACCTTATTTTTCATGTAAAATATTCACATGAAAATGACAAGATCACGTATATACATAATCTACAGAAACATGTAGCTTTATCGTCTACAATAATTCAACAGTATGCACACAGAGAGACAAGAAGTTTGGGCCTAGCTGTACGTAAGCGCCTGTACGCTAGCGCTAGCAGTATGTTCACGCCGGCGGATACGTGCATGTAGAGTGGGCGGAGCCCTTTTCCGCGAAGCGCTGCGGACGACGAGCGGGTGCTGTATATAGCTTCTGCCTACCGTTTCAGGCTCGCCGCTGGTGGCTGAAACCTCGCTCGAGTCTGTTACCAATCGCGTCTTCACGCTCATTCAGTCGCCTGCTGTGCGTCTGTGGATTTGTCTGCTCTGCACTAAACATGTTAGTTACTCAGTATACTCGGGAACTACGGGATTTCAATGAACCCTCGGGCCATCCACGTAGTTGCCCTCGCTGCGCTCGGGACACTACAACGCGGAGGCCCTCGGGTTCATTGAAATCCCGTAGTTCCCTCGAAAAGAGTAACTAACTTATATATAGAATCCAAATGGAGTTTAGAGTGGCACACCAGGCAACAATATAGGGATTGTGTGATGGGGTCGGGGGTTTCAGTGTGGTCAAATTTGTTCGTTAACCACGTGTCATGTATCCCATCCCTATCTTGTCTCCCTTTTGTTTTATACCATCCCTATCTGCCTCTTTTTTTTTATTTACTTGTCTCCACTCACTTTTATATACTTCTACATCTATCTCTGTGAAAGGGGGCAAGCACCCTATAAAAATTAATAATAGAGAAAGATGCCTATTGTCGTCATGGAAACACATGCATACCAAGTTTCATCCCCATGTGTGCTACTGCTGATAACAAGTTTGAGGAGTGAAGAGGTAATTTTAAAGAAAAGTGCCTGCGGCTCTTTGTTGTTGTTCAAATAGTAGGTGTTTGTCATGGAAGTGACGTATTATGCATGCATACCAAGTTTCACCTCCATGCGTGCTACGGTTAAAAAGTTTGGGGTGTGAAGAAGTAGTTTTAAATAAAATTGCCTGAGGCGGTCATCATGGAAACATGTAGTTGTCATGGAAATGAAATAATAGGCATACGTACCAAGATGCGTGCTACCATTAGAAAGTTTGAGAATTAAAGAAAAGTGCCTGAGGCTATTTGTTGTTATTCACGTATTGTTGTGATTTTGATGTTGGCTATTGAATACATTGTGTGTTGTCCTGCGTTATGCCAAAAAAGATGAGATCTTCATGTTTCACTTTCAGTTTCTATCAGATCCAACTATCGTCACAAAGAGCATGGGTTAACAAATGCAATGGTAACAAATGGGTTAAATTGCATAATCGGTACTTGAAAAAAAAATCAGTTTTCAGAATTCTTCTCGTTGTTGTTGTTCAGTTTAGACAAATGTGTCTCAAAAACCACTTAAGGTATGGAGACGAAACTTTTCACAAAGGTTGGAATCCATGACCCAACGTGCAAGAGCGATTTAATTTGTTTGTAAACAAAAAAAAAATAGCCCCAAGCCATACATTATGATATAGACCATTAAAGTATACTAGGTAGAGCAAGTACCCAGAATTATAAAACTTTTGTACACACATGCAACCCAACATTAGTATCAAAATGTAAACATTACAAGTTCGTAAACAACAACAAACAGCCCCAGGCAATAAAAACTTGTAAATAGTGTTTGCACCTGTAAGTTGCTTACGTTGGTCCTCTAACACTGAAACTCGGTACACTGATGTACCATGATAAGAGTTCATCGGAACAGAAATTACAAGTTTGTAAACAACAACGAACAGCCTCAGGCAATAAAAACTTGTAAACTGTGTTTTTGCCTGTAAATTACTTGTGGTTGGTCCTCTAACAGTGAAACTTGGTACACTGATTCAACGTGAGAGTTCACCGAAACAGAAATTACAAGGTTGTAAACAACCACAAACAGCCTCAGCCAAAAAGACTTTTAAGCAGTGTCATTGCCTATAACTTGCTTATGGTAGGTCCTCTCACAGTAAACCTTGGTGCACAAATGTAACGTCTTGAGGCGATAGTTTAAGGCCACTAATTTTCCTTTTTTTTTATTATGGGCTTATATCCCCTTTTTATTGCACACCATGCATGTGAATGGTGTATAAAAGGAAAGGAGACAAGTAAATAAAACATTCCTGGAATTAAAAATGTGTGGAATATAGGGAAGCCATAAAAAGCAAGGAGACAAGACTGGGATGACCTAGTGAATGTGATGCAGTAGTACAATGGATGATGGTTACATACTTTGAACTGACATCGCTTGCTTGTGTAAAATTTCCTCCACACAAGCCCAATGTTGTCGCCACCTTTACTATTTGTTTAGTGAAGTGCAAGGACAATGGTGAAAGGATTCTGTATGTATGTAGATGGCCAAGAACGCGGCATTGTCAAACTGGTTAGTTGACCAAATGTAGAAGTCTTAGACTTCACACAATGCAGTCACAACAGAAAACCGAGTGGATGGTATTACCGGTCTAATGTGCTTATTAATTAATTAAAAATCCTGCGAATTTTTTAAAAGAGGCATATAGGGATGGTATAAAAAGAAAGGGAGACAAGATAGGGATGGGATCATTAAGCATGGCTAATGAACCAATTTGAGCACGCTGACACCCCCAACCCCATCACACAATCCCTATATTGTTGGCCTAGGTGAAGTTCACCATTACATACTCAGTACTTACAACACACTGACTGAGTAGTCCAAGTGGAGTTAAAAGGGATGTGCAGTATAAATGTTACTAAAACACAGGGACACGTGAAAGAATGCTTCGTTTTTACAGTAACCTTTAGCCCCTATAAGAGTAGACACCAGCACAATAATAGGGATTATGTGTGATGGGGAGTTTGGGGGTGTCAGCTTATTCAATTAATATATCTTTTACTGTTTTTACTCAAATCCTTCTTTGTCTTAGTTTCTTAATTAACCATAATGCTTCTCTATGCATTCCTTACTCCCGATAATCTTGTCCTCCCTTTCTTTTGTATACATCCTATATGGCCTTTGCAGTATGTATTTTAATTTTATTTCTTGTTATCCACTCATTTATTTTTAACTACTAGTATTATCCTCTGTCGCCTTTAAAGGGGCATAGCGCCTATAAAATGCCTGTTTCTGTCACGGAAATGATATATGCGACCAAGTTTCATTCTCCATGTCGGGCTGCCGTTAGATAAGTAATATTAGAAAAAATTGTTACGAAAGAAGTAATTTTTTAAAGAAAAGTACCTTAGGCTATTTGTTGTCGTGTCGGTCATGGAAACTATGTATACACCACATGTGTTATATAAAAAATCGTTACCAAGTTCCATCTCCATGCATGGATATCTGACGTTATTTAGCGAGTATTTTTTGTTTAAGGATTTGGCATATATAGATAAGTAATTTTAAAGAAAACGCCTGATTAGGCTATTTTTGATTCGTTGTGAATCGTCATGATTTGTATAAACGAAATTTTTTAGTAAAGTTATGATGTAACACATGCTTGGTAACCAATTTCACATCCAATCGCATGTGCTACAGTTAGGCAAGTTGAGGAGTGAGATTAACTAGGATATTGCCTGAGGCTTTTCGACCCATAGTATATAATTGACAAAAAAAGATTGTGGTTCAAGAATCTGTATAAGAGATGTAATCTATTAAATGTATTAATCGTGCTGACGGAAAATGATAATTAAGGCATACATACCAATTTGTTTCATCTCTATGTGTAGGAAAAGTTTTTGGAGAAGTGAAGAATAAAATTTAAGAAGAAAAAAAGTGGGCTGTGTGGGGAACTGTGAAATAGAGTCTGGATAATGGGATGGATATTGTTGTTGTTTTACAATTAGTAGCGTATAGTGTTGATGTTGTTATGCTCATGTATTATTTAATGTTGGTGATTGAGAGAATAATTTAACTGTCTATCAATATGATTTATTCGTTCACATTAACTCTTACCAATTGTGAGTTATCTGCTGACTTACTTATGAGTTTTAGGTTGTGAACCAATTTATAAAATGGTATTGCCCTGGGTTTTAGCTATTTGTTGTGATTGTTTTACCAGTTAGACAATTGTTTATCACTAGTACATTATATTTTATAATCATGTATGGTGGTGAGTAACAATTGTTATAGTAATTGTTGTATAATTCATAGGATGAACTTACAAGGTTTATGATCCTGCATTTGTGCCCATACATTTGCAGAATTTTTCAATGATAAATTCACTTTCAATTTCAAATCAGATCCAACTGTTTGACCATCTTTATATACAGTTAAAACTTAGTTTTAATTGTCTGATATCTGTCACAAAGAGTCACGTATCTTCTATATTTGTTTTTAATTTTTAGTTTGAATGGCCTTAAATCGCCATAATTCCATTTGTGTTTATTATTACTGATTTATCTCAACAAAGTCACATTGTTCTGTGTTTGTTATTTTTATGCTTGTTTTTTGTTGGTTTTTTTTTCAGTAATATTAGAACTATTTTTTTAATTATATTTTTTCGAAAATATTTTTTATCTGCAAAAACCGTTAGGGTTAATTTAATATGTGGATCAGAAATTTTCTTTTATGCACAGATATCTG